GATAACATAGACCCACCCACGAGCCAGGCCCCTGGGCTCACCCGGTGAAACACTCACGCGCGCTGTCTTATTAGAACCTCTATTACTGTCCCATGACATCACCCCAATTTCAATAGAAGTGATAAGCTCGAGTGGATTGATCTATTTCGCGGCCCACCCAAATTCCCACAGTTATAGGGGGTCCATCAGTATAAAGACGCATAATGCGGTTATACCATTTTCACTCACCGATAGTCTCCTGATTATGGCATGAGTGCCAGAGCCCACACGCCATACACTTTAAGCGAATGCCCCTCTGGTGAGGTATATCCTTCCCGTGGCACCCGTTGTCAGCTCTCCCTCCCAGCCTTGCTCGCCCGGAATTTATCCGACTCATGGCAATATAGTACTAATCTCGGCTCAAGTATAAGCAGCCTGCATATGAGTCATCACCGGAGCTACCGAAGCACTTGTACCCACACTTCCTCACTCGAGCAGAGCGAAGCCACTACCTCACCCATACGCGCCGTGGGGACTCCTTCATTCTGGTGCATGCCCCCAACCCATCTGTCCCGGTTAAAGCTAGCGAGCTCAGTTCTCGCGGGCTTTCTACAGGGCAAGTAGAGGCGGCTGTTTACAAGGGTTTTTGCGAGTCGGAGAGATATAAGCGGTCCCTTTTCTACGCTCCCTCCACGAGCACTTTCCGAGGAAACAGCCGGGGGGGTTAATGCATTTGGCTTTTTTCTTTAACTCCTTTTTGCTCTTTCCGCTTTCCCCTGCGGTTATGCCAACCCGTCAATGGAAGGTCGATTGAAGACCTTTCAAGTCTAGAACGTGCGAGTTCGAGCCCGGCGAACCCCCGCTCCTGCGCACGAAGGCACCGTTTGCCTACCCCTCCTACCCCTTGACTAGTATCTGTCTTTCCTCTCCGGCCCCGTTTACTTCCTTTCAGTAGCCAATACTTTATCACCCGGTTATATTAACTATAGATTTATTAGTCGAAATCTCACTTCTTCAGCGGGTATTGGACGGGCAGTGCTAGGGATAGGAAGAAACACAAGTATGAGGCTATTATAGTAGTATAATACAAATCTAGGCCCGGGCTTGAGAGTAGTTTCAAAACGTCAGTGTTCTCACCTCTATCCCGACATTCTGAATAAAAGCACACAAAAGGCAGAAGCTGACCAAATACAAAGATTACGCATCAATCTAACCCACTCGGAGGCTGCAGATGCCCTCCTTCCCTCTATCTGAGACAGATATGAATAATTCCCCCTTAGAAACGCAATATGTTAGGTTTTAATATCGACTCAATCATAGTTTATCACTCATTTACTATTCCCTTGCAGCACATCTTTCACCTATACGGCACAGCTCCAGCTTCAGAGTTTCATTTTCTCGGTGTTCTCGGCCCAATTCTCCTCCAGCCCTCACAATTCTCCTGCATCAGACGTAATGCTATTCGTAATTTCTATAAGCCCCTTACCCCCGGTTTGGAATTTGTTCTAAGCTTCATACCAAGTGGATTAGTGTGACCAGAGTTTATGGCTTTGTTTCCCAATTGGGCTACCCAGTGAATGATATGATATGGTGCCAATCATTTAAAACGTGCACCGTGCTCCATGCAACATGTAACACCCAACTCTCCAAGAAACTAGCACCCCACCCTAGACCCGGTATCTTCAGGAAAACGCCAACTCCCATTCGTAACTACTTCACATATTTAATACCCCGTTAATTCTAAGGCCCATTAAGTATATGAATATACTCCATACCTGTATAGCGAAAATCTGGTACAACAAAATGTCCAAGTCCCATCAGTGGATCTCTGCTAGGTAGCTAAGCTTTAGACAAGCAGCCGGAACAAATCTGGGTTGCAACATCGATATGCGATTAAGGAGTCTTGAAATTAATAAGTGATTAAATATACAAAGTATCATAGTTACAGATAAAAGTTAACATTTTTCTGAAGATGCTGGGTTTAGGGTATATTGAAACTTTCTTAGAGGGCTGAGTGTTACATGTTGCATGGAGCACGGTGCACGTTTTAAGTGATTGGCACCGTACCATCACGCCGTTAGGTTCTGCCAACGCCAGTCCATTTCTAAACCCCGGTCTGTTGAAACGCCAATGCGGCATGGGGTAATATATAACAAATAGGGTCTCGTTCTCCACACCTTATTATACTTGGGCCGTTTGACATATGATATCTTATCCGGCTCATGATTGGGGGGGGCCCCACAATAATTGTGATTTGGGGGTTTTTTTCCCCCCTCTTAGCTATGATAGCTCCCTCAGCTTGTAGAAATGGACTGAGGGCTCTATGTTTACGAAATATCCAATTTACTTCAACCTCTACTTAGAATTCCTCATTGCCATCTAACCTACTCCTCGGCCCTCAATCCTTCATGAGCCCAGGCAAATTTAGGAGTAAAGTGGGATCTGCGCTAGGCTCCCCGCTCAGAGTTAAGCCACGGGTAGCAGGTGCAAACACACCTCTCCCTTGCCCGCCAGTACCCCTACAACTTGTACAAGGCAATCTTAGAGATACGATTCTTCTCCAGTCTCTTCCCATCTTTCCCTTATTAATTGGGGAAGAAAAATGAGGTCGTCTTGGAGCTCGAGCCAAATGCTATAGCAGAGCCCCCCAGCCCCCCGGCTCGTAAAAGGAACACTAACGCTTATTCCAGATGGCTAAATTCGGTCTTCCATATCGGTGGTTAACATTCCCCGGCGGTGTGCAGGATCCGTTGGCTAACGGAGAGGCACTATTACAGTGGGAGAGTTAGGATAAATCTAAGAGCCAAGGAAAACCTAGGCCGTAGAAAGTTAAAAAGAAATTAGAAACCATGATCCATCATACCCAAGAAACATGACCGCCAGTGATTTTCTGGAATCCAATTTCCGGTATACTAAGAAGTTTCCGGTTTCTTCGAGCTAGCTAATCTAATAGCCGTAGATATCCTGATTTATGTGACAGTTTTTAACTGCTCGACCACTGACAAAAAAAATGAGGAAATCTCCTCATGCTTTCCAAAGCCCTATCGCCCCTTAAGAGGGAACAAGCTTCAGACATGGAAGAGAAACTAGTGTTGAAGTCCTTATTCGGAGAGTCCTTCTTACCGCATTTATCGAATGACAGATTCTAAACCACAACTATTGGCCCGGAGGATTCCAGCCACTCTAGTTTAGTTTGTAAATTGTCATGATCCTAGGTTTTAAACTATTGTATATTGTTTAAAGCTCCCGTATCGGCGGAGGGGGGAGGTTGTTATCTCCCTCATCTCAGCCCTATATATCCCCAGCAACCAGAAATCAATCTCGAGCGATCCTATTTCGAGTGACAATCAATGATCCAAATATAAATGCTCGAAGGCTGCTAGACTCTTCCAATTCTGATGACACCCCTCGACTAACTAGGACCCCCGTTCAGTGCGGGGTGGCTTACAAGGACCACCCCCATAAATTGTGGGGTACATAAGGACATCGGCCACATTAAATACCCAGAAGGTAAATTCAAGATCCTAGGCATTTAGCGAGTGAGACGGCAGGAATACCAGTCACCCGGTTAGTACCTCCAACGAATGAGTGAAGGAGCTATGATATTCCCCTCCTCACATTTTTTTTTCTTTTTCGAGGTGGAATTATATCCGTAACTTAGGCTTTATTATATACATATATACTCAAGCATTAGTGAAAAATCCCAGGCAGCAAAAAGATCTCCCCACAAAAGCGGTTGTGTGATAACTCCTAAAATTAAGGGGAAAACTCACGACTGAGAGAGAGAGAGAAACGAAAAAACTACCTTTTAGCACGGTGGGACACAAATTATCATTCGTTGTCGATATCATGAGATGTCATACCACGTGGCGCAAGAAACTTTATGAAACATATGATACACACACCCGCTTAAGTTACCCACCGCACGCTCCGCTCGTTTTCCGCACCGCGGACCACCACCTGCATCCACAGCTCGTGGAACGCGCTCCAAGCAGCTAAAACGGTGTGATGGAGGTTCTCGGGGAGGACCTTAGGGGAGCCGCTTCACCAATGGCAATCCTGGACATTCAAGGTCGGGACCAAGCAGACTTCCCGAGGGACACTAAGGGGTTGGGGCATCTGATTGTCCTATACTCGAGTAGTTGCCATCACCAAGAAGGGATTTTATATCATACAGATTATTCCGGAAGTTTGGGCTTTCCTTTTGGGCACTGGCAATCTCTACATGCTCTGGCCTTATCTATCCCGGTCCTTCTTGGACATCACCACCAGCCTCTTGGAAAATCTATCCCCTGTTTCACCACCATGGCCAGTCGTGTCACACCAATTGATATCACGTAGTCATATCCTTTATAGACCTCCCTCAGCTATTTTCCAGTGCAGCACACGCAGCTTTTCTGATCTATTCCCAACCTAGCGTTCTCAAATATTGTATGTTACTCCACCTAAATCTCTAGGCCCATCCCCCCCCCCCATCACTTTTTGAGGCCAATAAGGTCTTCTGGAGTGAATAATTGTTTCTCCATGACCAAGAATAGTCTATTCCCAAGATTGTCGATTCCACTAACATTGACCACCTTTTACTCCAAGGTGCTGCAGCGACCTTGCAATATAGTACCGTACTATACCATCTAAATTTTCACAAACCCTATACAGCTATTACCTCCCCCAGACTTTTAACCGGCCAAAAGAGAACTTTAGTATGAACACAGTACGTCATAGTTTACAGTATATTCTACAATCAGACCTCCCTGTAACTGGTTGATCGGCATCCCTACAATGCAAGTCGAAACAGTTGCAGCTCACTCCCGACATTCTAACATATCTCGATACGAGTACCCGACCCTACATCTCTAAAAGGCAAGCTTTCGAACTAGTAACAGTGCTCCTCAGAGATTGTCACTCGAAAAGAAAAAAAATCCCATCTTTTCCATTGAGAATAGCGGTAGACCTACTCTATGAACAGAATAGCTGGTTGCAAAGAAAAAGAAAGAAATTGAAAAATATGCCTAAGAAAAGAATATATCCTTCGTCTATCCTGAACCACTAGACGCCCTCTCCAGCAACCTTTTTCTCTATTCCTTACGTAGCTAGAAAACACATCTATTTCCACGATTAGCTAGGTTCGCTCTAGATAAATTCGGGGTGCAAACCTCGTTTTTAATTTCCTGCAGGGCCTGCGCCATCGTCTGCTGGACCCGCGCCAAAGGCCATGCCGTATCCTGCCGGGCCGCCACGGACCCCATCCGCCGATGCAGCAAGATTCCCCATATTAGTGATTGCCTGCATCGGCGACTTCACACCTGCCAGAACCCTTTCTTGATCGATCAAAGCCTGCATTGGAGACTTTACACCTGCGAGACCCATACTCTGATCCTGCAACGCGGTCATGGGGGATTTGGCTACCGCAAGGCCAGTATTGTAGTCCGCAGCACCTCCTGTAGCGTTGGAGAACCCCGGTGGGGAGCGAGAACCCAGGCGTGAAAGCGGCCGCCGGTATCGACGTTGGTATAACGGTGGTGAGGATGTATGGGAGGTGCTACTTGGTGGAGCCACTCGGCCAGTGTCCGAAGATGTCATTCGCCGTGGCTCTGTCGGTGGATTTCGGCGGCTAGGACTTGGGTATGGATGGAATCGTGACCATTTAAGGGCGGGGAGAAGAACTGTTGAAGATTGTGAGGGTGGTGCAGGGGAGGAAATGGCCTTGAGGAAAGAGGCACCTGTGGGAGATGAAGAAGAAGAGGGGGTGGGTGGGTGGTATGATCGGATAAAATTTGCGGTAGCTATAAAATCTTCGCATGAGCGTATGCGGCCCAAAATCGTTTCGGAGCAGCCTTCGGGCGGGCTTTGTAATGGTTTGAGAATGCAGACATGAGGACCGTTCTGTGGGGATATCTCAAGCTCGCATCGGCACCGCCAAGTAATGCTAGCGGTAGGGTCTTCGGAGGTCTCTGGACCCTCTTCCGTTATCGTGTCGAGAAGGTTAGACCTCTCAATCTCAGGGGCAGCTGTTGTCTGAGGTTCAACACAATCAAATCCGATAGCAGATCCGGTCACATCGCAGGCGTGCGGAGGCGATTCTCGCCTCAAACTATCGTCGATACCATCAGGACTCCCCGCATCGCTAAGGCTGCATAACCTTTGACCCGCGGCATAGCTTAACTCATCGTGAGCCCCCTTCGAGGCCTCCTCAAGTGTCTTTAAGGCGGCAACATCACTGCTCTCCCCCACCTCTGCCTTTGCACTCTCCTGTTGGATCATTAATACCTCCGGAAGCAGTCTTCCCAGGCTCTCGTTGAATCCCCTTATCTCTACAATCAATAATTCGAACTTCGCCTTATCCTGAACCACCCAGCAAGTCTTCCTTGGGAACGATGCTTGTTGTTTTGCCGATTTCAATAGTCGCCGCAGCTTTTCGTGGGTTACCGGAAATGCTGATTGCTGTGGCGAGGAGTCGAACCCCTCGTCTTCCGATTGAAGTGGCTGTAGACCGTACTTTGCGGCCAGGTTATTGGTGTCTTCGAGTGTCGCTTTCAAACAATTTAGGATGCTGAATACTGCACCACGAATAAGGGTATCACCGAGTCGTTTATTATATGTTTCGTTACGTTCGTCGCGGTCGGAACCTTGAGAATTAAAAATACCAACAGCCTCACCCCACTTGAGAAGGAGAACCCGCTCAACCTCCAGCTTGCACAGCAAGGTCTGGCAAGCAGAGCCGTGTGATTTGGCGGTGGAAACGAGGTCGAATAACTGAAGGCAAGTAGTAAAAAGGCCCGCGAGCCCAGCGATTCCCAATGTTACGCCAATACTCTCCATGGCTATCGGTGCTTCGTTGTGAGAGCGGGGTGGCCGTGGATTGTAGGGAAAAAAATCGCTTTTCCAACATGAACCCCAGGCCATGGAGACGATGGAGAGGTGTAAATATTTCTTTTCTCCGAGCGCTTTCGGCTCCTCGAGTAGGAATTGAAGATGCAAGCATTCCGCACAAGTTAACTGCACCTCGACGTGGTCGAGATTGTACGGGGCTACGGTTGCCCTCTGCTGTCTCGGAGGCACTTATCTATTCGCCAATGGTCTGCGCGACTCTACTCAGTAGCTGACTACCTGCAATGGATCCGCTGATATTCACCTGCGATTGCAGGGCAAGGAATTCGAACCGAGCCTAAGAGGAATTAATAACAAAACCCTCCGACTGGCAATAGCACCGGCGGGGTGCCCTACATGACGTATCTTCTGGTGGAGATCACGGAGGTGTCTGTCGCGAATATTTTATTGACAGGTTAGAATTGGACTATGCAAACTGCTGTCTCATGACTGCAGTTCTACTCGCAAGCCAAGCTCGGGAGGCGAACAGCCCTAGTGGATGCGAGAGATCTGGGTGTTGGTTTGAACGCTCCGAATTTTGTGTGGGTTTTCGAACCGCTGCCCAACGGTCACGGTTACCAAACAAACGTCCATCCTTCCAAAGCCTCTCAACGCGTGAATCCCGTGCTTGGCAGGCGAAGGAGGTCGGGTGAGAAGACGAAGATGGCAAACTCTCCAAATACGATAGATGAGGAATGGAGTACTTTCGGGTCCTCGTTAATAGAGAGATCCAAGTAGTACCCCGGTCCGGACCTTTTCGTGCTACCGGGATCCGTGCATAATATGGCTCGCCGGGTTACGGCCGAACAGCGCGAGCAAGGTTACAGTACTCCAGCGGTGAGATATCCATGTAACAAGGTAATTTTTACCATACATCCTGCTCAGTAAGTACAAACCCTCTTCAAGATTGGTAAACCATGCAAACCTTCACCGAGATAGGCCGCACGGTGCATTTCTCCCCACCGTATGAGAATCCGTAAAATATCCCGGATCGCTAAACTACCTCACCCCAAAGAAGCAACGATTGATTGGACCCCTGGACTACTGAAGTCATTAGTCGGGTTAGATTTTCAGCGGCACATACGAATTAAGCAAGGGGGCCGATAAGAGCGTTACGAGTACAAATGTGAGATCGTGGTGGAGGAGAAGGATTGATTCGATCGTGAGAGTCTTTCCGCGTGTGGGTCAAGTGGGATGGGGGAGGTTTATATGTGCATCGTGAATGGGAGTGCGCAGCCCCTGAACGGAGCCCGGGAACGTAATTGGGCAGCAAACACATTTAGGTGTCGGCAGCGCGGGACATACCAATGCGTATGGTCCACGAGTTCCCCAATTTTATCACTGGGAAGCCGGTTTCCATTGTGGTTTATACTAGTGTTGTATGTGTATTTGTGTTTGCCTCTTGTGTTTCAGCCTCACTTCAACCCGATACTCGGCTGGCCGTCTTCATGATCACGGCGATGTCTCCTGGAATTTACTGTCTGACGCCAAACTTCACACAGTATAGTAATAGCCATCGTGTTTTTCCCCGGCAGAACTGAAGCAAGATCAAGCATCCATGCCCAAGAGATACTTTAACAAACACCACTCATGCGACAAGTCGTGGGGGGGACCGTGTAAAGCTCTTGGATATGATCCATGTTAACACTACTCCCACCAGTAGCCCCGCCCTACTACTCGTACATATCCTATCACACTACAATAGTAACACAATAGTAATTAAGACCCCTGACCGGCGCTATACTACCGGCGATATGCCCAAGAATAAGTATTGCTGTCTTAGGGCTGAAACACCTGGGGAGACATCTCTCATTTCTGCTACTCGAGTACAGCTTGAGCTCACATCTACACACCTCCTCCCTTATCTTTAGGTTCGGGCGACAATTCATTCCCTCAAAAATCTTTCACCGATACCGGGATTTCTTGCGTTTGCGGTAATGGCGCCCATGCTTAGCGGTCCTCCTTCTAAAATGTCACTGCAGTCCAATACACCAGGATCGCGCACTGTATGTGTGCAGGTCTCTGCCGATGCTCGCCCTCGCGGGCTGTCAAAACACCGAAATTTGGGGAGACCCTCTTTCCCTTTATGCGAAAATTTTTCCCACCCATCAAAGCTGACCTACATTTATTCACCAAAGCACCCTAATCCATTCTACTAGAACTTGTCAGATCCCTCTGGGTAAGAGCCTCATCGGCCAAAAGGTACTAGGGAGGCATACTACATTTAGTTTTTTCTTTTCTTTTACAAAAAAAGGATAGTCGCTGGCGCTGTGTGCACTGCTTTCTGTAGCTAAAACTAGAACAATAACTTCTCGTCGGAATTCCTATTAAACGAGTGATGGTTGGTGAATAGGGCCTGCCCAACCGTGTTTTACAGGAGCGGGGGTCCGAGCACTTGGTCGGTTTCACATCACAACGTGGCCCCCTTCCCCTTGTTTCAAGAGAAAAAAAACTCCTGCCCCGCGTGGCGCTATCATACATATCATGGCGGCATCAAGGGTACTTGTACAACAGATGTTTGCTAAGGTTCACTCAGATGGTCTCCAGAGAGGAAATTGTTCCGGTGCCCTTACAGGGCACTTTAATCAGCGATTTGGCGGACTTTGAACCACGGGCAGGTCGAGTGATAATCTATGATGAATCAACGTGGGCTACCACTGTATTGCACTTGATATTCGGCATCAGGGGCTCTGGTGCCTTAGTATCCCCATTACTTCCGCAATCGTAACTCCTTTCCCGGATATCCTGCTCTTTCGGGGTTGGTTTGCCAACCCCGGACATCTGGTCTTCCACGTTTTGTCCTTGCCGACGTGTTATTGAGGTAGTCCAAAGACCTGGCTGATAGAGTTGTGGCGTATGCAGCAGGTTTCTTTGTGGTCGGGCAAATGATAATAGAGTTTGGGTTTGCTAAGAGACATTAGTATTCTCAATCCATTCCCAAACATTACAGTTGGATATTGCGCCACCTACTAGAGGATAGCTCAGGTCTAGAGTATATTGCCGTTATAAAATCAGTTGTGACTCACCGTATCTCAAAGTTGAACCTGGCCGAATGCCAACGGTTCTGCATGGACCCAAGAACCGATGCGTAGGTTGCTCTCATTGTGGAGATGGATAAGAATGTGGCCGGGCAGAGCAACCCCCTTCGGCTTCTTGATCTCGCTGGGTCCTGCATAAATATCATCGGGGATTACCCCTCAATAAAGGCAAAGTAATCCGTGGATGGCGTAATTTTCATGGTGATGTACTGTGCTCGCCCAAGACAAGAAAAGAGGAACCCCGAAGTGACCTGGAGTCACCCCCGAGTTTGTTGGCTTTAATGGTGAACTATCCCTGGAAGGCTCTTCCAACGACCCTAGTTAGTCCTTATCTTTTAGAAAATTCTGCTGAAGATACCAGTATATGCTCACCTGCTACGCCATGAGCATACTCGGAAGAGGCAATCATATCCAGACTGGGCTTAGGTGTTGGACCCAGACATTGAAAACACGCCTTGACTTGTTGTTTGCCAATAGCTGGACACCCAATTCTCTGTGTAAAGCCCGATTTTGCTTTTTTCCTCCATGGAGAGGTTTCCGATGTGGTAAATTCGAGACAAGAAGCTCGGATCTAGTGGCTAAGTTTTAGTGATGGTTCGTGGTTCGTGATCAATTGAAAATTATAACTCACTCTTCCGCTAGGCACCACTCGAAGTGAGCTCCACTATCATGGTGGGCCGGGATCAGAATAATCCTTCCGTCCTAAAATCTCCCCAGTTACGCGCTGAAATTGCTTGATTTATTCGTGATCTCGAAAATTGCGATGGCTCCCTAACCGTCGTGTCAATCACCGGCCTGCTTTCTCCTCATCTCTATAAGTCTTCAGACTTCAGATACCCATCGTGGGGAAATGCGGGCTCTCCTGGGGCGGAACACGTATATACGCCAATCGTAACGCCATCATTTGGGCCCCTGTATTTTGTCTGCGATAGGGCTGGGCGTCACTTGTCTCTGCGAGATAGTACAAGCCCAGTGTCGCTGTGGCGCTGGTGCCACCACTAACCACTGCTGACGATTTATTGTCTAATGTTACCGTACTACAAACTTCAGCCGTGGGGGATGATGATCCCTGACCAAAAGTCGGTCTTGATGTTGTGGGTGCGCTGGCGACAATTGATGGCCGGGACAGTCTTAAGCTATAACACCCGCTGCGAATGCTGGATTCACCTTGGTGAAATACGGACACGTTCCTCGAGTCGCTGGGGATCTTGCACCGGGCGCCAGGGCAGGAAAGTCTGTTTGGCCATTAGCGACGGCACATATAGAAGGCAAAGTTCGGCTACTTACAGCATCGCAACCCAGGCTCGAAATTACCGCGAGGGGGGCAGCCAATTTTCCATCTGCGGAAGGGATCCCCAGAAGATCCTCAGAGAAACTCTGGCATCGGCCGTACCTCCCTACCGCCCGATTCTGGCCGTGTACTGTACTAGTACACGCCCGAGAATTCCCGTATATGGCAATACGGCACCCTTACTTTATTTACTGTTTTCTTGTGCGCTTTTCTCTTCTCCAGCGCTATCCCTATTTATTTATTTTTGGTTCGATCGAAGACATGCCAGCTCCACGAAAGCCGCAACTCCGTTCTGGGGTATCATACTCAATCATTTCAGGCAGGTTTCTGCTTTCGGATAGTTTCGCTCTATACAGGGTTCGGGGAAGGAACAGCAGCGCGAATTTCGGGAAGCAGGAATGTTGCAACGGAGCCTTTCGTCTTGAGTACTATACAAGAGAGAGGAGGGTGGCTTCATCCAACCTTTTGAAAGAGGTGTGTCTGCACTTGTTGACCAGCTACCGCCACACATATGGGCCCCATATCCTCTTCTCAGAGAGAGAACGTTTGTGATAGATCTTCGCTCAATAATACAAAGTGAGCTCCCTCCACTCTCCCAAATACAATAAAGGAATTCATCAAACGCACTCAGTGACGGGGGCAGCGCCCGAGGGCTCAACACCGCCGACATGAGTGCGAAACTGCTCCTTGAAGGTTAAACTAACTAGCTGAAACAGCAAGCCCTACCAACACTCTCTCACAGCCGCAAACGGAAGGAGCGTAGGGGATATCGGCGTCTTCTGGGGTTTGGGCGAAGGTTATAGCGACGGTTCGGTTCTGGATGAGGGCCCGTAGCAGATCTAGCCGGTGCAGGACGGCGAGGGTGCTGAGGTCTCTTTCTGGCCTTCCGCAGGTCCACTAGGATTTCCCGCTTGGTACAGCCTCGAACGGGGGGACAAAATGGTGCCGCTTCGGGTGGGAGCTCGGCAGGGATCAGGGTGGAGGACGGTAGGAACTTCGTGGCCACCGGAAAAATGCAGGTCTTGGTCCGTGCCATGGGTGTTGGATAAGCCGTTGCTGCGGGGAGCTGTTGATGGCCTTCGATCGTGGCGATGAAAGGAAAGCAATCCGACTGGAATGTCGGGCGCGGATAAGGACTTTCGGAGTCTGGGGAAAAGTGTTGGTTTGGGCAAAGGAATGTTATCTTCTCGAAGTTTGGGTTGTTAAAGGAGCGAAGATCAAAAACCCTTCCAAGACTGAGGGGTGTAGATGGGCTTGCCTCTGCGGACGGCTCGGGGGTGAAGGAAGGGAGAAGAGGGTTCCCAAATTTAAAAACGACGCTTCCATCTTCGCCGGTTTATGTTGCATTTGCTTCGGGGGGCTTCATCTCGGTTGCAAAGAGCGGTTTGTTGAAATCCCGGGAGCGAGATAGAGGTGGTATGCAGATCACCGTATGGTTGATGGTGGTGAGGAGATGTAAGTGTTGGGGGGAGAAATTCTTGTTTGGAAGAGGGAGGAGTGGGAGGGCAAGGGGCACGCTCACAAGCACCCATCCCAGCGCCTGCCAATCCTTACGCCTGTGGTAGGATAACATGGCATTTGGCGAACAGCTTTCCTCCATAGCCTTGCGTTGGCCCCATCATCTCCCCAAAGGACTGCCGGTAGAGCGCGAAATACATTTCGAGTTTTCGGACCATGCCGTGCGGTAGCGGCACTGCACTGCCATTGTGATCAAGTGGGTCCTCCCTACCCAACAGAAATGGGTAAACCTCTTCCAATTCCTCACCAGCCTTTACCCGCTCGTCCATGATGGCTCGACCAGCCGGTTTACTGACCCGGAAGAAACTTGTGGACCGGCTCACCACCATTCAAAAAATCGAAATGGTGATCAGCGATGCCTTCTTTTTCCTCTTGGTTCACACTATCCCGTGGTTTGGCACAAGCTGGTCTGCGTATCTAAAAACCATGCCCCTATGTTATCGCTACCATACCCATGAGCCGGCAAAGATAAGTATGTGCATAAGGTGCGGCGGCGACCGCAAGGCAGAGCCAATTCAGTACAGTCCAGTCCAGTACTCGACAGAGGAGCAGTAATTGCACATTCGGCCCATCTTCCTGTCCGACCATTCCATCACATCTGTGGAGAGGGAAAGGAAGATTAACGAGCTATCAACATTCTCAGTGCAATTTTGAGTTCTTTTTTTTCTTTCTTTTTCGCCCGCTGCTTTGCACATCCCTCGGTTTCGCTACTCCATAAATTAGCTCTATTCGACTTTTTTGAGGCGCCCAATCCGCCGACCGAGCCGGCCTGAAAAAGAGGTCAAGTGGTTCCGAGCCGATATACTCGAGCACTGGTACCGGAATCCCTACTCGAGTTGTGGGCAAACTGTGGGCTCAAATGGTGACTGCCGGTAAGTTATGTGCGATACCCAACCCGGTAGCGAGCCGCAGCCCAACTCGGGTGGTTCGCCAGGGCTAACCCGGTACTTGCGCTCGTGAATAGACTGGAAGCTGTAGGGATGGCATATCCGCGGGGGCGAACTAGGCTAGATCCTGGTGATTGTTTCCTCACTTGCATCGACAGGCCCTTCCGCGTGATACCCGTCCATCTGCCCAATTGTCTGTGCCACCACGAAACTCCGGATACATTCTAGGAAACTTGTTGGTCTTTTCCCCGCTCTGACTTTCTTTCCAATCATTAGAATCGACATCTCTGTTTAACGGTATAAAAAAAGCATGCGAGGACTCCCGGACACCGGGGTCCTATCATATGTCCTGGGGAACTTTGGTGACAACGAGGCAAACAAGAGAAACGGTGCTGGGCTAGCATTGACAGTCTAGTAGTCTACCCCTCCCATGTGGGAGTCTTCCATGGGCAGTCTACTCGAGTAGTTACTGATCCTCAGCGGGAGAAAAGGTCCGAAGGTGCGGTTACTCTAGACGCCCAAATATCGGCAGAGTGCGGTAATTGGTCTTGGTGCTCCTAGGCTACCTCTCCCATCACTTCTACGTGCCGGATGTGTGTGTCGAGCCATCCAAAAAGTATAAAGCCCAGCTACCAGTAACCCGAGGAGAAATAATAGATGGGTTTTCCCTCTAGGCCGCCGAGGAACCGATCGGAATCCCCTGCCGAGTTAACCACAGCGCGGCAGGCTACGACAGCATCTGCTGCGGCGGCTACAAACCAAGCTCTAGCATATTGCAGCTATTATGTCAAGCAAGGATATCCAAAGCTGGAGAGGTGATACCCCACCACGCTGGTACAGCACAGCACTCGAGTGAATACCGTACGGTCGGCACAGTGATTGCACTAATGCTCTCGTATTTCATAGCGTGTGTTAATTTGGAGCCATCATTTAACTGCCCAGGTATTGTTGACACGTTCACCAGTAAGTCACAACTTGGAGTGGGGTCCTTGGACGGGTGTCGGGAAGGCATATATTTCCTTTAGGCACACCACTCGCGCGCCCGAGGGATGGGGGTACCGTACAGTACTGAGCTCCTGCAGATATGCTTGGGTTCGATTCCCACCACGGATTATCCTCGTGACTCCTAGCGCTAGGAGGTAGAATCATACCAGCACAGATATCTATACAAGATCTAACCGGGCACCAAATCAGGCCTTGATACTCTCGAATATCAGGAAGCGGGGGACCTTCGCTTGCGCCGATGGGAGGCTTAGAAAACTGAAGCCCGTGAGGCAGAAAGGGATTGCGCTCCCCGGGGCCGGATGAGCAGTATTAGTATCGGTCATGGAGATCTTGAATGCATACATCAAATACTGGAGATTGGTAGCTGCAAGAGCTGCTCTTCCCTGCAAGAAATAGCGCCGGGCATGCTGGTGCAGGTACGGTGAATTGCATCAACCTGGAGGAGAGTCTGGTTTAAACCAGTGCCCCGCCGCAGGAGCCTGAAGAATAGAGGAGAGCGAAGGGGAGTAGGCTGTGGGAGCCAAACCACTAACTAATTAGGTATTCCTTACAACCACTTGCTAACGAGAGAAATCACCTGAAAGGAAGTATCCATCCCTCCCTCTGCCGCTCATAAGTGAACCGGACAGTATTATTTGTTGGCGCCACCCTCTGGTCTACCGGTAGCGATGAAGTGGAGAGCCGAATGTCCGGCCTGCGCTAGCAGCTACCAGAGCACTCGAGCCGCCCGGACCCAACCCTTTCCAATAAATGGCTAAGTGGTCGAATACCGGTAGGGTGTACTGGAGGCAGCATCTACGGCGCTGCAGCACATTGCCAGTAATTCTTAGCCGGCAGTTCACCGGGTGCGGTCAACTTTCCCTATTTCACGACGGAGTGAGATGGCCAATTAATCGCGCTTTTGCACGCCATCTAAGGTCCCTGCATAGTCACGTATCCAGACTAACACTCTTACCTTTTCTACTCTGCCTGCCCCGTTCTTCTCTAGGTGCTCTCCGCTCTAGAGCAAACTTTGGAGCTACCAAGACCACTTTCCAGGGCCTTTTCCGCTAGAATATTTTCCCAACTCAAAGAAGCCATCCTCCAAGGTCCAGTGATACGGGACAGCGCATCAAGAATTCAACAACCCCTTCTCTGCTGGCTGGTCAGGGCTTGGGACTAAGAGAACACCTAGATCGAACCTCATTCACGCAGCTCTCCGCTGGCGCGTTACATGCCATGCTTCTTGGATTCGGGGGTTGGTTCCACGTGGACTGTTCATGGGCGCAGAGTCGGCCACCTTCCATCGGTTCTCCATGACCCAATCCCGGATCATAAGGAGGAGACCCCCTTCTGGTTTTGGGACTCCTGTGCACCAAGTGCTCCGGCATCTACTCGTGATCTTTGTTTTTTTTTTTTCGCAGTTTATCGTGCAGCATTTACACACACTCCAAACTCAAGGCAACCAACTCTACAAACTCTCGAAGCTCCAGGCATTGCCTGCGGTGGTAACTGTACCAGGTTTCCTGCTCCGATAATGCATCACCGCTTGACACTTCTCCCTCCTAATGCATCCCTGGACGAATAATTTCGAAAGCTGGAGAAAATTTTCGCGGTCGAGCATCAGGCTATGCGGAAATGGCGTGGCAGTTTTGCAGCTGGTGCCCATGAAGCTGCATCCCCAGCTGGAGAAAAGCAAAGAGATGAAGGGGTGCTACTAGGGGACTTTATTGTTGCATTGGTTTCCTCCTGCAACGAAGAGAGAAGCTTTGGGTGGACGAAATAGCGGGGAGCAGGTAAGTATCCAGTTAGTCAAACAATGGGCACATCCCATCCGACTTACTCGTCAAAGAACCACGGTCGCCTGCCCGAGATGTCCTCCTACTGTCTACTTTAGAACCAAACTCTGGTCTGATTCTAGAGGGTGCTAATGTGCGAACAAGTTTTTTCAGTTTTTTCATTTCCAAAATTGGTCGCTATCACAAGAAGTGGATTAACATATTGAGAGTGATAGAAAGGCCGTGTGTAATAATATTTGCGGCGTGTGCCGCTGCCAGGCTGTACAAGTACTGCCCCTTCAAATCGATATTATGGCTCGGTAAATCCGGAGGATCTGGCCAGTGCCCAGAGTGTTATTGGGGAAGATGAACGCAAATAGCTCGCAAAGGATGGTGGATCTCCCAAAGACTTGCATTCTCGAGCTATCCAGAAACTTCGGGCGGGTTGTCGTGGGTGGTTCAGAAAAGCGCCCTCCATTTCATGGGGCCGCACGCTCCCGTTCTACACTCATGCATGAGCGAGCTTCCGTATCCCACGCACCCTTCACCGGCATAGGGCGTGGGCACTTGTATCGATGCAGACTATGATACGTATTGACCTCCTTGTCGACACACATCAACTCGAGATTCTCATTACCCAGCAAATACTTCCCACCGATCATGAAGAAAAATCATATCTAATCCCGAGAAAGTCGACCGAAGAATAGTGGTCCATGCATTTCGACCCCCGAGCCCCGGATTGCCTGCGACGGACCGACCGCACAAAGTTCGAATCAGCGCCAGGCGTTTTCTCGGTTAATTGTACTATACTAGTACTGTGCCATCAGATATCGACACGGTATCATAACCTTCCGTCAGGTTGGAGGGAGCCTGGGGCCACCAGTACCCCGGAGACTGTAGGTTTAATGGCGCCAGTTTAGTAATTGTACGAGTATTAGAAGTCCTAACCGGAGGAGGGGAAAAGGGGCAGCATGATATGATATCTGAGCACACAAGTACTAGATTTCCGATGGTATTTACCAGTCTCGTTTTTATATATGCACATCATCCAAAGTCTTAAATATAGCCACCAACTACGAAGTCTCACGACTCGGCCCCCACTTCTTGTTTCCCGATCAACCTACCGGTATCGTAGAGCATGAACCAGATCGATGCACGGCACCGTACCCCTCCTTTACACGGGTACGGTACTGCAGAGCACCCCCGCCCTCCATTTTTATTTATTCATTCACTCATTCATCTGTTTACTTATTTTGTTCATCTATCTATTTTGCACATGATACAGCCTTCCTGCGCGCACCTCGTTCGGGGTGCCCAGAGCCGACCAGGGCTGGACGCATAGGCGTAACTTAGATCTTTCCCAGTCAAATAGGATTACAGTACCAGTACGAGTACTAGCACAGTACATTCTATCCTACCTGCAGCAGTTAGAACAGGAATCTCCGAGCGAGGTTGCGCGATATCCGCAGAAACTCAACGTAGTACCATAGTGGTAGTGCCGTGATATGGTTTTTTTTTTACTAATTGTTGGACATCGGCTTGGATGGGAGGGGGGGTACTGCGGGGTAGTGAATTAAGATTTAAACTACTTATAGTGCAGTACTGTACTGTACTTGTAGAGCATTCACCGGGGGCCCCCTTGAACAATCAAAAGATCCATGATAACAAAAAGTTGTTGAGCAGGGATCAATTATGATAGTGGTATCATACTGGTATACCGGTAATAGTTTTTTTTTGCAACCCTAACCTTGACCAATTCAACTTTCGCCCACGATGTACCCATGTTCGCCATCCGCCCAGCCCCGCCATCGGTTGTGGAAAAAAATAAAATAATAATTCTTATTTATTATCGCGACAGGAGGTTGGTCGGATACCGGTACCGGAGATGTGGTGCTGCACTAGCACTGTACAGTGCAGTACTGTACTTCGTGGTTGTCAGGGGAGGGATGTTATCGTAAATACCGCATGGATAGCCCTACACTTCCCAAGCTTGATATATCTACAGCCTCTACTTGCGGAAAATCACGTTGTACGGGTATGATATCTTATATTGTGGATAAAATTGGACAAGAGCTGAACCTTAGGTGAAGTTGTTGAGCACCGGTATATAACAAATTAAATATACCGCGCCGACGCTGCAGGGATATTATCAGAGAGGGTTTAATTAAACATGCATATGCGCAGAGCACACGAGAACCCTACGCCATCTCGAATCAAGAGTATCGAGGTATCATATGTACCACACAGTGCCAAATCCACTACATCTTGACACTCCCAAAGCCCGCATTTTCCAGCTTCAGTTCGGGCGCGACATCCTCCAATATCTCCATCAGATCATCCCAAACCTTCCTCTGCAGTTCTCTCGCTTTTTTGGTCTTGAAGAGCTTTTTGGGCAAACTAACGCTTTCCATCAGCTCGACTGGGCCTCCTAAATTTTAACGGCCGGTGAATCACCTCTTGATTCTGCAATCATCAATGTACTCGCCGTGACTGCTTGGTCCAGCGTCGACGATCGAGTGAAAGTATGTGCGTGCTCCCGTCTCTGTGCTCCGCGCGAACAGGGTTTTGAAGAGGCCCAGGAGAGGGAGGTTGTATTCGCGCAACAGGTCGGAATGGCAGAACCCAGGAGTAGCCTTCCGTGGATTCAGTCAGAGTCGGTATATATCACAGGAGGCGTTCGAAATCGGCTCACACAGTTCACTATTACCATAGGATTTCCATCACTTGCTTTCGGCACGAGGGCCGCCAATTCGCGGGCGATATAAATGCCTAGGAGTTTAGTCATAGGATACCGTCTGGGTGCCATTTGACCGCTTTTGGATTTAATCAGTATAATAGACCTGCAGTACAAGATGCTACTCGTACACAAGAAACCACAAAAACAGGATCCAAGAACATAATAGCGTACCTCTCCCCCGTCCCAAAAATGTTCTCATCATTCAATGCCTCTATGATATTCCCCTCAATCTTCACATACCTCTTGAAATCAGCGAATTGGTACATGTGCGACGAGACAATTGTAATAGTTGGGATGGTTCCACTTCCAGCTACTTCCTTTCGCCGTTCAAGAGCCCTGGGCAGAAGCAGCCTGGCCAAGAGCGCCGTGCCCAGCACGTTCACCTGCAACGACCGTTCCCACCCGTCCCCCGCTACATTCCAAGTCTCGCTCGCGATACCCGCATTCAGCACTATCCCGTCGACGGGGCCAACACTAGATGCGAAATCGCGGATAGAATCAAAGGACTCCATATCCACTATCAGAACTTGAATGGTTCCCGGGGCGAGTCCGAGGAGAGCATCGATCTGAGCCTTCGCATTGAGAGCCTTGTCACGCGAGCGACAGGCGAGAATCACCGACGCCCCTTGACGGGCAAAGTGCTTTGCGGCTTCGAAGCCGAGACCAGTGTTCGCACCGGTTACAAGCACCCTCCAGCCGTCGATTCGGGTTCGTGGGATGGGAAGCGACGAAAAGAGGGCCCTCCGAAAGCTCGTTGACATGGTTGTTGTTGCTCGGTGAGGACAGCGCGGCCAGCGCGCCATGACGCTCACACCGATATTTATTGGGGCTCGTGAGTCTCACAGGTAGCGCTCGCCCCGATGACAAATGGGGAATCCCGCTCCCACTTTTCTCGTGACCAGCAAGAGGTGCTCGTATCATACAGTACTGGTACGGTACATGTCCCATGATCGACCGGCTATGCAGACTCACGGAACGTATAGTTAGTGTTTACTGGATCTGAGGGGGCTTAGGGAACGATTGATTGTCGCCCGTTGATTCTTACTGCCCAACCCCGAGACTCCTACCGTCCCCTCCCATATCCGCGGCACGATAATCGGTCCAGCCGGGGTCAGGCGGCTGAGCGGTAGTGATTCGGCTGCCTACCGGTACGTACCTTCAGCACGGGTGATGGATGATACATAACTTGTTCTCTTCAACCCTGGAATAAAAATAAAAATAAAAAAGCGCTTTCTTTTTTCTCGATTCCGTATCGCACCATTCCACTAGAGTGCAAAATTTGGGAAATTACACCTTTTGGAAAGGCCCCTTTGATTGAGCTCGATTGAAGGGCTGGAGTCAGTGTGCACTTTCAGCTCAGCGGCCTGCGATCGTGAATATAGAAGTTATCCCTCAACCCCCACCAAACGTAATTTTTGGTTAAACCATCACATTTTTTTCCCCCGAATCCCCAATTAAGAACTGGACTTCGCCTTAGAGCCCCTGAGTGGTACGAATCCCGGCGTGAGACGTCTCAAAATAATGCGGAGGGGGTTTTTTGCCCGTCAAGATCAGATATCATCAGCCATTCGAGCCCAATTGATTTTTAACTGCCAATGCGATTGGGCATTTAAAGGAAGCTGTTTCTGGGACCCCCCCCCCCCGACCAGGCCCGTTTAAGTGCTTCTTGTTAATCAAACGTAGAATACCGGTTCATTTCCGGGCTAGACAGCGCACACAAGTTTGATGTCACAATTTCGGTTTTGCCTTTATGGCGTAGTACTCGTACAGTACTTGTATCGAACGGTCTTCCTGTCTCGCAGTAGTCAATGATCACCTACTAATGTTTTGAGGATGATAATAAGCTCATGGGTTCGTCTGGCGCTTACCGGCTGGTAATTTAGGTCCTTGGCACATTCCGTCCCAGGATGATGTCCCGGGCGACGGCACGCTTATTATAACTGCGCTTGTATGGTACTGTACGAGTATAAGTTACAAGAATCCGAATCCATGCCGGTGAAGAGGGGTAGCCTCACGGTACATGTTGGAATACTTTTTCTTACCATGCATCCCTCTCTATGGAATATTGTGATACCTAACTTGGTGACATTCCCGGATAAAGTAAGGTGGATGAGCTGGTCATAACCCCTGAAAAGCAAGGCATCTGGATCTAACTTCGGGTCAAGTGTCAGACCTGGTCGGTTCTGTCAAATAAACACACAGGTACCGCTGGGTATGGACGTTAGTGATGAGACGGACGAGGGTTTTGAGTCCTAGCTCTGAATACCGCTAGAAGTAAAAAAATGGTTCAATTCAATTCCCGAATGTGTGAGTACTCCTTGCACTGCATCGATCGATAGCTTAGGTACGAGAACTGTGCTCGAGCACAGTACGGAGGTACAGCCGGTAAGTTAAGTACTGTATTGTACAAGCACTTTACTGTACCGTACGGTACTATGCTCGTACTTGCACAAATCCATAGGGTCACTGCGCTCGACTCCACCCCCCATCGCGATTAAATCAATGTATGAATGATCGCTGCCCATAGTATCACACAAGCACTAGAGTGCTCGACTATAGGTGTGCATGCAGACTACAGGCAACCCTATTAGGTCAACCATGGGGGGGTGTATCGGAAGTGCTGCAGTGTAAGCTTGGGAACAGCTAGTATCTCGAGTACGCTGTAAGGCATTGCACAGAGTAAGGTAAGTTACTATAGTAGGCCGCACATCTCCAGAAAACCCTAGCCCGGAGAATTTAACCCACCGGTTCTCCTCTCTATCCTTCCCCCACCTCCCCCCCAATTCAATTATAGGTTCCGATTATTATTCGGAGGGTACCCGAAAATGGAAGAAGGGAAATCTGTCCTACCGCACCGTTGTCCTCAGGACATAAGGCACCTCTACGTGCCTGTGCATGAGATCGCCGACAAAGTTCATACCGTCCGCGAAACTTTCAAGACGCAAAAGACTTTCCCGCTTTCATTCCGGAAGGAGCAGCTTCGAAGACTGTACTATGTTCTCGAGGACCATGCAGACGAGTTCGTGGACGCCATGTACCATGATATGGGAAAGCCGAGGAAAGATGCCTTGATGGAATTGACGAGTTGCTTGAATGAAATATGTCACACGGTCGAGAATATGGAGCACTGGTTGGCGGATCAGGAGGTCAAGTCGGATCTGAACTTTTGCATGGCCAGCACCAGAATTAAGAGAAAACCTTTGGGGTGAGTAATGGATGTTCCGGCGCAAATTTTAACGCAGAAAGGGAGACAGCAGCGCCATGGCTGACAAGATGATAGCGTTGCCCTTATTATGACCTCTTTCAACGCACCATTGTCGGGGGCAGTATGGCCATTATCTAGTGCCATTGCTGGAGGTAGGTATCTTCGGAATTACCGCTCTATTTAATCTAACCTAGGCATCAGGAAACTGTTTCGTTCTCAAACCCGCCGAGGGCTCCCCCGGCGTTGCCGCGCTCTGGACAAAATATCTCTACGAGAACCTCGACAAGTCCTTCCATACTGTTGTAAACGGTGAAATCCCTGAGACCACCGAACTCCTGAACCAGAAGTTCGACCAAATCTCCTGTACGGGAAGTGCCACGGTCGGTCGAATTGTCGCCACCGCTGCAGCGAAGCATCTTACACCGTGTGTGTTGGAACTGGGTGGGAAGAACCCTGTACTCATCGATAGGGATGTGGACCTTGATGATGCGGCCAAGAAGATAGCATGGGCGAGAACAATGTTTGGCGGGCAAACTTGCCTGTGCCCCGGTGCGTATCTACATTCCATGATCCCCTTGAGGACATAAATCGAGAGCTGACCAGAACGGGATGCAACAGATTACATCTTAGTCCATCCAGACCAAACCACCGAACTAATAGCCAAAGTTGAGCACCACTGGTCCCAATTCTGGTCACAGCCCCTAATAAACGATCCTAAATACGGGCGAGTCGTGCACAAGCGCGCCTACGAACGCATAACCTCCCTCCTGGGCCCCTCGCGCATCCCCGCCGAGGCCTCGGAAGCAGACCTCTTCCTCCCGCCCATGATCCTCCGCGTGGAGAGGGACGACCCATTGATGTCACAGGAGATCTTTGGTCCGATAGTCTGCGTGCTCGAATGCTCCTCCATCGAGGATGCTATCTCCTTCGTGAACTCTGGCGATCGCCCGCTCGCGGTCTACCCTTTCTCTAAAAACTCCAAGTGGGTGGAAACGGTCCTGCAAAAGACGCTCGCTGGCACCGCCACAGTCAATGACCTGATGTTGAGCGGTGGGCCGGCTGGGTTTGAGTTCGGTGGTGTTGGGGAGAGTGGATACGGGAAGCTTAAGGGGAGGGCAGGCCTTTATAGTTTTACCTCTGCCATGACAATCGTGGAGACACCTAAGTGGATGGGTTACTTAACTGGCGTGCGGTTCCCGAACGCTACGCCGTTCGACGATTGGCTTGCCAGCTTAGGGAAGCCGAAGCCCAAGTTTAGTAGGAAAGTCGGAAGTGCAGACAAAGTGGGAAAGAATCGTACGGGTATTGTTAGCAATGCCACCCCGCTGACCTGGGCAGTCGCGATGTTGGTTGTTGCTGCTGCTCTTCACAAGGATGGAGGTATCCGGGAGATCGGGAGATGGGCATGTATGATTTCAAAGGCTGTTCCCGATTTGTAGTTCTTACCGATTAAACTCCCTTTCATTCGAGTTGTGAATAGACCGGGCCGCTCGAGAAAAAGGGCCGCTGCTGCTAACTCGACGGCTAAGGTCTGGCCACCCGTTTCACCCCAGGCTAGGTGTTGAAAGAATCCCTTCTAATCTCTGGCTTTCGATCCCTTCAAGCTCATTAAGGACTTTTTGGGTTCGTCCGTTTGACCAATGTCAATCGGCCAGTCCAGGAATTAACCACCATACTAATTTCACTCTTGAATGTTGTCGTGATGCGCACCCACGCACAGGAGATATCCAGAACTATGAAAGACATCGAGGGACGGAGGCTATAACATCAGCCAGTTCGGGCCCAAAGCCGTTAGCCCTATAGAGATATTGTCTAAGGGCCTGTTTGGCACGCCAGGATTAGACTAGGACTTGGACTTTGTAAACTGGCCATGCCAAACATGACAGGATTTAGATTAGGACTATAGAGGACTTGTGTATCTGATGTAAAATAATAAAGATAAGATCTAGGCATGTGCTTTGTTTGTGCTTACAAGCTAAGTAAGTAGTTAGGGTAATGCCTTTTTGAGTTTGCTTTGTGACAGGTGTTTTTTTTAGAGAAAATCCTGGTTTAAAATCCTGATCTAATCCTGGCATGAAAATCTAGTCCAGGTCCTGGCCTGCCGGACGGGGTTAGGCTGAAAGCCCAGATTCTTAAGTCCAAATACTGGCATGGCAAACAGGCCCTAAGAGAAGAAAGCACATAACTGAGGGTACTGTAATTGACTCTTAAAGTCATAAGCCTCAAGAACCTGTAGTGCGTTCCCAAGAACATCAAGTAACGTCACTAAGTCATATAAGGAAAATTAGTGAACAGGAAAGGCACGCGCCCCATAGAGAAAAAAAACAACAACTTGAAGTTGTATGATGCCCCTACCGGCGTGCCATGCCTGGAGGCGTGGATCAACATGAAAGGCTGTGGAGGCTTATCACGGAAGATGATAATAATATTATGGCCTCCCAAAATCATGTTTTCGCTTGCATAGTCCATCATCAGGTTTTCCGATAGTCCTTTCGGGTCAATGGAGAGGAGAGTGAGAGTCTCTCAATGACTAAAAGGACCAAAAATCACACAGTATACCAATTACGATTCATTCAACACCCAAGTGTAAACTTAGGTATGGCACTTCGCCAACTTTACAAACTATCGATTCCGTTGGCGTGGGTAAATATAGTAGACCGGATATCATACACCCTATGAGACTAGAGTCGAAAAGTCTTGCTGTGGGCAGCCCGCACGCAGCATTCTACGGTACCGCTTTGCCGGTACACACCACTACGAAAAGCGAACATTCCAGGTATGATATGGTACTGGCTGCCATATCCAAAGTCTCATGGCGAGTGATGGCGGGTGAGCGCCGAGGTCCGTAGGACTTCACTCCACCACTCTTATTCAGGGAATATTCCTGCAATTGCACTCTTCTGGACGGTATATACCTAGCGCACTTATCGAGTAATCTTAGTGCAAGCAGTGTAACGTTTTCACGGATTTCCCTCCCAGCGTGTTCCTAGCGACAAGAAGCGTGTTCGAGAGAGGGGTGGGTGACGGGCCCGAGAGAGTAGAAGGAGGCCACTGACGCCCCAGAAGCCAAAGAAAATCTAGACCGAGAAGGCCTCCATAAGAGGCTGGGACGAATGGAAGGGAGGATCTGACTAGATGAGCCATCAGACCATCGGATCGCCCTTTTTTGTGAGTGGTACCGTACTTTACAGTGCTGGATTGTCCCTGCACTCGGGCGAACTCTTAACTACCGAAGGCTAGAATCTGTGCTTCGCTGCTGGTTTGTTTCTCTTCTGTGCACAAGTACTGAAAAACAAGGTTATAAGATATTTCTTTGGACTACTGTCGTTATTCCCCTTGAAGTTTGTGGTGTTTACCGTACGAGTACTCGAGTAGCTTTCAGCGAGGTTGCACGGTTTGCGTACTGTATCATGGATGGAACTACCTGTAGGTGGGAGTTGTAGGCAATGTTGCTAGGGTTGCCACTCACATCAACAGCCCATCAGACTCCCAACAATTATCGAGTTTCTTAAACTCCATCCATTTAAGAGGCCAATACACCAACCAATTCTTAACTTTCTTGGAGCTGCTCTTGCAAGGATTGTCCTTGAGAAGAATGGCTACAAAATCATACCTGAATGGGGGCATAAAAGTGCAGTGGAAGCGGGTATTTGTGGCTCTAAATTCCACGCCCAATTTTCAGGTTTTTACAAGCCTTGTTGCTAACTTATGTTAACACCACCCAGGCCTCACTGGGCAAGCGCTCTAATCCACACTCAGACTACTGTGCTGGCGCTGTGCGAGTGCCAAAACATGGCCATCCCATCTTGGTAACACTATGAGTAGTGCACCCGAACTTCGGCTTGAATTGCCACTATACATCAACGGGTCACTTAGTCCCCCGCAACTAGACTACTGCCAAGAAGGTCCACATGGAATGTGCTAAAATAAACTTATAGAGGTCCCCCTCCGCCTTCATGCCCTTTGACAGGGCCTCGAGTTTCCCTCCCATCACCAACCACCACCGACTACCGCCGCTCATAGAGACCCCGGTTTTCACAATGATAGACGCGAAAGAAGGTAACAACCTTTCGAACCCCTCTGCTGAGGGCAATTGCTAATGATCCCCGAGTTGCAAAGCACAACACCTCCTCGAGCTGCTGGGTAATAATCCACAATACAGTCTATGACGTAACCGACTTCCTCTCCTCCCATCCGGGCGGTACAAAGGCCATCCTGTCCCTTGCTGGACAAGACGCAACAGAAGAATACGACCCCATACACCCCCCCGGCACTCTCGAGGAGTCCTTAGAAAAGTCGCAAATCCTTGGACCCATCGACCCGTCCACCATCGCAACCATCACGCCTACGTCATCGCTAACCTCCTCATCCCCCGGGAAGGGCGGGGGGGAAAGCGGTATCCCACCTCTATCGGAGCAACTAAACCTCGACGACTTCGCCATCACAGCTGAGAAGGTGCTCTCGCCAAAAGCGTGGGCGTACTACTCCTCCGCTAGCGACGACCTATTGACGAAGAAGCACAACAACACAGTATACCAGCAGATCCTCCTCCGCCCGCGAATATTCAGGGACGTCCGCGACGTGGATACCCGAACAACGATATGCTCATCCCCCATCGCCTTTCCGGTATTCGTTGCGCCCGCAGCGTTGGCGAGACTGGCGCACCCGTCCGGCGAAGCCGGCATCGCGGAAGCGTGTGGGAGAGAGGGCGTTCTGCAGTGCGTTAGCACCAACGCGAGTCTGAAGCCCGAGCAGGTTATGGCCGGGAGAGTGAGCGACAATCAACCCGCTTGGTTCCAATTGTACGTTAAAGATGACCGAGGGAAGAGCGAGGCACTACTGAAGCGGGTGGATGCGTTGGGCTTCACGGCTGTGGTGCTGACGCTTGACGCGCCCACCCCGGGAAAGAGGGAGGCGGACGAAAGGGTCCAGAACGCTGGGAGCACGGTGAGCGCTGCGTCCGGGGAGGGGATGCAGGAGGGAGGTGGAAGTAGAGGACTCGGAAAGGCACTCTTCGCCGGCACCACGCCGTCGCTGACATGGGAGGATATAAAGTGGCTGAGGAAACATACCAGATTGCCGATAATTCTGAAGGGTTTGCAGACGCATGAGGACGCTGCTATGGCTGCTAGGAAGGAGATTCTCGAGCTTGGTGTTACCGGGATCGTATTATCTAATCATGGTGGACGGGCGGCAGACACCGCTCCTCCCCCCGTGTATGTGCTCATGGAGATTCGGAGGCACGCTCCCGAGGTGTTCAATAGGCTCGAGGTGTATGTCGATGGTGGGATTCGGCGTGGGACGGATGTTGTCAAGGCACTCTGTTTGGGTGCTAAGGCCGTTGGGATTGGTCGACCAGCGTTGTTTGGATTGAGCGGCTACGGGGTCGATGGGGTTCGCCGGGTGTTGACCATACTCCGACAGGAGATCGAGACTGCTATGAGGCTGCTCGGGGTCTGCTCTGTGGGGGAGTTGGGATTGGGACACGTAAGTGATCTGCCGTGATAACCCCTCGGGGAGTAGTGCTGACTGGTTATGGTGGTGATTGTAGGTCAATACTAGAGCATTGGACGGACTAATTTACCAGGAGCCGCAAGAGCTGTCGGGCGGAGAGGTCAAGGCGAAGTTGTAGCTTGTAGGCTTTTTTTTTTTTTTTTGTTCGAACTCTTGGGGATTGGACGGGTTTAGAGGGTTGTTGATATAGCGCTAGTAGAAGTAGGTGGGAGTAGGTTGAGTCGCTTCCGCAGCGTTAGACCGCTACATGTACCGTACTCGTAGAATGGACATCTGGGCAAAAAGCTTGAGGAGGCTATATTTAGATGCTCTACAGAGCCCATGAAACAAAAAGTGAAAAATGACTGAATCTCAATAGCAAAAAACTTGAGTCTTTGTCCTCTTGTAGAGAGATTTTACCGGTCGCCTCCAGCACAATACGGCAAAGTGCGGGTAAATAATTTAGTAGGGTCTTGAATTTCTTAATGTATCATATCATAGGGAAACCACGGATGCCCCAACCCTGCGCCCCAAGAAAGCCCAAGCCCCGCCGGGTGCTGGGGCTATGATGCTACCGGTAGACTGACGGGATTATAGGTGGGTCCACCCTTACTAAGGGGTTAGCCCAAAGGACTATCCAGGGTCCAACCAAGGCCCAAAGACCTCAACCGATGTTCCAATACCGTACCGGTATATCATGCCTATCCAGACGGAATGCACTACTGTACCGGTACTCGGAGATGGAGGCAAAAATAGAGCAGATCAGGGATGGCAAAGAGGAGCCTTGGGAATCTTGTGCAAGTGGACTACATATTGGGACAGACGGGGGAGTCATTTAATGTCCAGGAGCAGTTCCATCTGCATTTTTGTTGGAACCTGATGACCAAATTTCCTGCACTAGAGTGACAGTTTTGCTTCCCTATACATTCCTATACATTCAGGCATTATAAACTCGGATATAGGAAGTGCCGTAGAGAAAAACAAAAAGAAAAAGGATCCTGGCCTGGGTACTTGGTGATGCTGGCTTGCCGATCTTTTCCTCCGTTTCGGCCAACTGGGGCTTCAGTGCAATGACAGGGTTACTTGCAGCACGGGTACTCGATTTTCACCTCCAACCCCGGGGACGAACACGGTACAGTACAGTACTCGTACAGTAAGCTTGTTTCCCCGGTTCTGCAAGGCAGTCTGGGCATCGGCTACGGGTTGTCGTCGGGGAGAGGCTTTGCACGGATGGACCAGAACTGGTCTTGATTCCCGGCGATGCGATGAAAATCAAGGAAAAGGAATACAGATGGATCCGACTGCGGTGGCGGCGCCACTTCCACCTTCCAGAAGGTTTTATTTGTCGGGTGACGTCGTCGCTGATATCAGAAACAGGGATCGGCGGAGGGGGGGGGATTCACGACTGGCGAAGGAGGAGAGAAGGAGCCGGAAGGGAGGGAGGGAGAGGGAGACGTCATGAGGGTCCGTGAGTAGGGGATATAGGTAGCCCTCCTCCTCTCCTCCTTCCTTCACTCCTCCATCCATCGCGTCCGAGATACAAGTATCATACGGCAGACTACTACCACCCTCCTCACTCCTACCGCCCTCCACATTAACCACTACCACTAATCATCACTCTCGACATGCCCGTCGTGCTCGACGATGAGTTGCTTATCCCTCCTTCCATGAGGAGGCCCAAAAGGTACTACACCGCTGCCGGGTCGTACGGTGACCCCCGCGTCGAGACCACGATAATCGAGTCCCCCTCCCTGGCATCGACCACTACCATCGAACTCCCTCCCCACCATGCCCTCACTCCTCCTCACTCCCCCATCGTCGTTCATGAGGACCACTACGCCCCCCTCCCGACCGATATTGAATACCCTCGTGGCCGCGAATATGTCATCCATCCGGCCGGTCGATCAGCCGCCTACCATAATCGGATAGGAGGGGTAGGGGGATTCGGTGGTGAGCTGGATATGGATTACCCACATGGACACGGACACGGACGGCGCTACTATCGTGCGAGGAGTGTTGGTCCACTTTCGGACCATGACAGCTACTCCGACGATTACTACCTTGAGGATGGTACTCGTCACGGGACCCACCATCACCATCATGGGACACCACACGGTCATCACGGCCGCCATGGTCACCGTGCGAAACATTTTCTGGGAGACGGCGCCGGACTCGTTGGTGCTCACAACCCTCGTGAGCATAGGGAGCATGGGGGACATCTTCACCGCCGTTCATCGTCTAGCCATGGCCACAGAGGCCGACATCTCGCCGAGGCCGCGGGTCTCGCCGTCGGCGCCAAGAAGCTTATGAAGCATAGATCCCTCTCTCGCCCCGGCCGATCCCATTCCTCCCATGGCCATCATCGGGCACGCCATCTCGCCGAAGCTGGCATTGCTGCCGCGGGGCTTGATCACGCCTTGAACCATCGTCGATCACGCTCCCATAGCCGCCATCGACGCCTCAGCTCTGACTCGGAACGGCATCCCGGATGGAACAGGGACGATCATAAGGCCCATCGTCGTGCCAAGCGCCTCGCTGAAGCAGGACTCGGTGTTGCTGCTGCGGGTGCCGCTAAGGAATTACACGACCGCCGTAAACACCATCGCTCTTCTTCGCTATCTTCGTCGGGTGGGGAACGCAACCATAACGGACGCCACATTGCTGCCGCTGCACTGGGCGCCACAGCTGCCGGGCTTGCCCACCACAAGTACGCTCACCACCGTCGCCGTTCCTCTTCCGTTTCGTCTTATTCCTCCAGTTCGGATGACGAGAATAAACATCGTGGGCGCAAGCTTGCTGGCGCCGCGGTTGGCGGTGCAGCTACGGGCCTTGCTGCCAGGGCGCTTTACGATCGTCAGAAGAATAGATCCAGATCCTCTTCAATCTCATCATCACTCTCGGATGGGGACAATCGCCATCATCGGCATAGACTCGGGAAAGCGGCGCTCGGTGCAGCAGCAGCCACCGCCGGCTTGAGGCACCACCATGGCCGTCGTTCCCGCTCCCGTTCCCGTGCCCGCTCTAGCTCCCGCGAGCGAAGAAACCATGTCGATGGACTGAAGAAGGCCGGGTACACTATGGCCGGAGCTCTTGCAGAGAAGTATCGTCGCGATCATAAACGCGGTAGATCGCTTTCTGCCGACGGGCGCCGCTACGGTGGGCGCCACGATGGTCACCATAATGGCCATCATATCACACACGGCCATCTTAAGCCTGGCCAAGGTTTTGTCGAAAGTGAGAGCATCCATTCATCACCAAGCAGGACTGGAACTCGTTCCCGTCGCGGCAGTCACGGAGGGGGGGTGCTAGGCAGGGGTGCGGATCCCTCTGCCACGAGAAACATTGGAGAGACGGTTGCGTATAAGATTGGAGAAGCAGTGGCTGAGGGACTGAACGGAAGGAGGAGATCGGGTAGCATGGGTCATAGGAGATAAATGGCCTAATCATGTACCTTTATGAATGACTTTCTTTTGTTGCTGCATGTGTGGATATGGCATTTTTTCTTCTTTCTTCTCTCGTTAGGTTGGTTTGGGTGGAGCATAAACGAAGTAATATAATTTTCTCTATGAAGAGTATCTCCTTGAACTGTTGGAAGTGAGCTTGTATCGAGACCATGAGTAATATATCATACGTGTAATGGGTCGGGGAAATTTTTTTCCCGGGGACAGAATACAATGAACCCCGGATCAAGCTTGATTGGAATCCAGAGAATATGTTACGCAGGCACGATTCCAGAGAAACATGGATTCAATACATCCCTCAATCCCCCAATAACCCGATCCTATCTTTTGGTCGGGATCGATTCTGAAACTCGGGGAAAGGGGATGGGGCGAAGGTTTAGCGATGGTAGGGATGGTATTATAGGTAGGGGTAGTGTGGGGCGGGGGGAGATAGACTACTCGTACAGTAGTCAGATGCACCTCGTCGCCATAGTCTCGCATCGCTGGCTGCTGCGCGGAGACTGCCTAATGTGGCAGGACCTTTTGCTGGATGTGCCGCGGAGCTCAGAAATGCGCACACTGCAATGTATTCGAACAACGATATGCGAACATACCGCGAAGCCTGCGGTGGCTTCACTTTTTCTTGTTGTCTCGGTGTATCATACGGTACGGTACTGTATTTATCACCCAGTGCCGGTCATGGTTAGGAAGCCGAGGTCCCTCGTACCGGGCGAACTCCTATGCCCTACAGCGCATCAGAATTTAATGCTGTGAAGTCATTTGAATAAACCTATTTTCTTCCAGCCAGCCGAGGTTACTCGGTTTCGTTCTGTTTGTGGGGAGTATTGGTCCGGCGTGGAGGGACAAGTCCGATATATACTCGAGTATGATACTATCTTGCTAGATCCGCAACAAACATGCGCAATGGCACTGTTGTGTTGGTACTTTGTACTTGTATTTAGTGATGTCGGTAGTCGGAATGATCTCTCAGCTCCAGTGTCTGTTTCTCTTTTTTTTTTGCATCCTGCGGTTAGTTTTTTTTTTTCCCTAATGATACTTTACTTTTTCCTTCTTTTTCTTCCTTGGATGCTCAAGTGATATTGTAAACTGGTCACCTAAATTCAAGACTGTGTTATGCTAGTAGGAATTTTTTTTCTTTTTCCTTTCCCATAGGAGTATGTTTATTCCAAAGTGTATTCTGAGAATCTTATTACAATCATCTCCATGCTGGTTTACATAGTATTGCGCTTTAAGCCGGTGCCAGCTCCAGAACGCCCAAACAAAGTACCACATTCCACAACCACAACCAAAGTGAGATCCTCAGTATATATATTTGAATATCTACTCTCTATACAACTTAGCACTCGCAAGTTTCAAGAATGCTAAATGTCAGAGGTGATAATTGCAACAGCCACTAAGTTAGGTTTCATAACTCACACAGACCTGTATAACCCACTATTCTCCAGCTTCTATCGTACCGCGATGATGAAGGTAAGAGATATATGGCAGCCACTCCCATATATACCCACCAGTTCTCGAAATGCTCACGATATTGCAATTCTGGACAGATGGATGGGTGGATAGATAGATAGACGCCAGCCGGCTCCTCCAAACTCCCTGTTAATATCCCGTCACCACGCTCTCCATACATGCGCCAGCCGGTCCCAAAGGTATTATATCCTGAAATCCGGCACGGTTTACCGGTCAGTCCCAGGAACCGCCGGGGCTTTCGTCTACCTTTTAGGATGGGGTAGTCATGTTATGGGGATTATCCCGGGATGTCACAAGATTCCCCCACGACGTGAAAAATGTCGTGCTCACTAGCTTTTTCAAATGCGGGCAGCTTATGTCTTCCCGGTTTCGAGCCGTCCACCGCGCTCATGTATGCGTATGCGTGTAATACCTCACTGGCAAGCGGCCGGAAGATGGCGGGTTCTATCATAATCGGAAGTTGTCATAATGTGTGGTACAGTACTGTTCCACACCTGCATTCGGTTGCTTAAGGTGCCACCCATACCGGTATACAGCGGTCGATGCTGCCAGCATTATACCCCCCCTGTTTACTATTGCAGTGGTATAACACACCCAGTCGCAAGGCCTGAGCTTATTACTCGTACGGTACTCGAGTACCGTAAATGGTTTATTTAACCTTCCTGGAAGAGCTGAATTACCGTACTGGTACATGTATGATACACAATTTCGTACCGTACCCGAGTGCGGACCAACTAATCTGAAATCCTACTTGTCCCCTTCCCCCCTCCTTTCCTTTCAGATGGGTCGGTGTTCAGCTGCTGTTGTGGACCGATATTATTTATGGAGTCATCCGGAATAAGACTGTGGTCACTCCCATCCGTTTCGCGTGAGAGGGGGTGGAGGGGGGGGGGGGGGAGAATAGCAGGGGTATGTAGTATCCGTATCAAGCAATTGTGGATGGGGGCGGTCTAATCTGAGTACCGTACTGTACGTACGCGGTGACCAAAGCTTCTTATGATGCGCCATCCGTTCTAGAAGGAAGGACAAGACCCTCTTTATGTTTTTGGGTGTTGGACCTTGTATCAACCTTGTTCTCCCACTAAGGTATCATAGCGACGGTGCATCGAGAATCGAGTCCCTTATGTTGCAGGGAAAACAGAATGGTCTGTACTAGTACAGTACAGTATTATAGTGTCGCATGTTAGGCTAATATCGTAGTCATATTTCTCAATCATATCCGAAAACCCTCCCGGATAGTTGAGGCGTGGGAACGGAATAATGTTTTTCCTATTAACGCGGATTAGACCATCCACTGGTGTGATAATATTATGATGGCCGTGGAAAATTGGCAGCATTTAGTTTCTGAAATGAACATACTACTACTATCGTGACACCACTGTTATGATACTTCGCTAGTCTACCGTATTGCCTCCTGGCAGGGCCGCTTCTACTTTCGAGCCTCACTAACTTGGACTCATCGTCGCTACCCGACCCTGGACTCTCACCTGAGGCAACACCCTGTACGAGTGCAGTGCAGTACAGTATGGTACAGTGCAGTGCTCGGGTGCATACGGTACTATACAACTCCGATATACCGGTTCTCACTCCCTTGTGCAACCAGCTAAAGAGCCGCGGCGGGGCCCTCGGCCCGCTAGCTAAAATCTGGGAATTACCCTTGAGGGATCTATCTATAAAGCCCGGATTTGTCCAGACAGACAAGAGTCCCATGTCACATCCTCGTGAGGACGATCTCGCAGCCACGCCCGTGTTATATCGTAGGCGAGCCGTGTGATTTTCCAGAATTTTCGTGGGTTCTTCCCCCTCCCCTCTGCGCTCGTGATGCTGCAATTGCTGCTTAGGTCACGGTTCCGAGTTCGGTAGCTTAGGGGTACAGCGCTTGTACGGTGAATATAATCATGGATCACTTTAGCGGGTGGGTGGGCGCGAGGGGCTTTTACGAATACGGGGGGGTCCGGGGTGTTTGTGCATGCTTGTTCCACAGTGTCCGCGGTGGTGGGGGTATAGTTGGGATGCGTATAGGGCTGGATCGAGGTTGGTTTTAAATCCTCCGCAGTCGGTGAGAGGGCGGTTATGGTCACGGTGGATGGCCGGGAGAGCTCTGGGGCTAAAAGTAATTTGGTTAGGATGTTTGTGTGTCTGTTCTATCCTAACTTGCGGTGGTGGGCGGAAACCCGCTTTGTACAATTGGCATTGAAGATATTTAGAGAAGTTTTGTGTGAAAACACTAGAGAAATCGAGGTATAACGGGGAGAACGTCACTAGGGCAGATGACCCATCAGCAAAAGAATGGATTAGTAAAATGCATTTAATCCTTAAGCCCATTTTCCTAGCAGTGCCATGAGAGCTAATAAATGACAAAAAAGTTAGTCTCGGTCCGTATTGTAGGGGTTTATGCAGTTGAAGGATAACCCACCCGCTCCTAGTGTCATAAACCCGAATGCAGCCATAACATGGGATATCTTTTCATTCTTCAGAGACTTGCTAAACAAAAATTCGTGCGCCATCAGCTCCACCAGCCCCGTATAGAGCAAGATGCCAGCAGAGATAGCGTCGAAGATCCCGTTCAACATCAAGGCGGTCCGGCTGGCGGGGTCCAAGGTCGATCTAGCCCCCAACCCAATCCCGATAGCAAGAGGAGTGGTAAACCCGTAGGCCATCCCCAAGGCATACGGCATCCACTTATTTGGGAAGGGCACTGTTGACAGCCTGGCTCCTAGCCCCAAACCTTCAAAGGTCTGGTGGAAGACAAGCACAATATACAATGTGATAAACTCCTCCCCCGAAACAGCAAGTGTAAGCCCGATAAAGATTGAGTGAAAGATTATCCCGAATTCTAGGATGAAGAGGGAAATAACTTGGGCCGCGTAGTCCTCCTTCATGACCTCGGCATCCGCGCAATTGAGGATCTCTGGGTCAGCGGTGCCAGCGGGAGGTGATCCGCTGCACTGTTCTTTTCCCTGGTCGGATGGGGTATTATCCATGTCGTACCCGAGATGGCTGGTTGAAAAGGTTGCGAAGCGCGTGGCTAGCAGCTCCACGAAGAACACAGCAAAGACGGACATCAGCGCTATACCTTGTGCCCATGGGTATTCCGTGATTGGGCCCGTGAGACACGGATCCGTGAGGGCCTCATTGGCGGGTGTGAGGAGCTGTTCGGTTCGCCTGTTAGTTTGGTAAGCTTTTGGGTGAAATTTTAGACTGACGTGAATGAATGCGGTGCAGATGATGACCCCTGAGCCAAAGTACTTTGCAAACATCATTGCCCACCCCGGGATTTTTAACCGTGGATGGTTCCCTCCAACCACCGGGAACAACGCGCCTATTGTGAACAAACATATTAGCGGGTTTCCTTCTTTTCCCTCCTCAGAAAGATGATGGTCGGGGCGGGAAGCAAACCAAGCATAGACCCAGCCAAGATGACAAAGATGGCAGAAATCCTCAATCCCATCCTCCCATCATATTCGTTCCCACCTCCGCACTTTGGTGCTACTTCCTCCTCTTCACCGACCTCGCCTTCCACAACTTGGCGCAGTGCCAAACCGGTCAACTCCATAGCAACAGAAGCAGCCATTTATCTTTTCTCCTTGGGAAGGGATGGCTCGGTTCGGAATTGTATATTCTCTTCCAGAACACTTTGGATGATCGAGTGAGAGGGTGTGATCTGACAGATTTCTCCGTAGGGAAAATGCACGGAGCGTTTGGTGATGAGTCGGTGTCAACTTGCGGCCAGGCGAAGGGAAATGCAAAGCAATTCTAGGGTTCGTCGTTCGCACAAGTACGGATGGGGGTTTTCCTGGAAGAAGAAGAAGAAGAAGAAGAAGAAGAAGAAGAAGAAGAAGAAGAGGAAGGAGGGTGGGTGGGTTCTGGTATGATAAGACTGTAGATGGGTTTGAAAAAAAAAGTAAAGAAGAAAAAGAACCCTTATTTAAAAACCAGAAGGGTGCCGTGTGAGTGAGGGCTTAGGTATTATTAAACAGTGCTGGGCATCTGAAACCGTCCCCCCCCCTGAGCGAGAATCAACAAGTTTCTTTCTTAAAAAAGGAAAAAGACGGACGCCATAGAACTGGTCAGAATCTCCTCCTCTTTAGTCCTATCCACTCCAACGATTTGTTGCGTGGGTATTGGCTGAGAACAGTGATGTAGGTATTTTGGGGGTGGAGGACATACAGATTTATGTCAAGGCGCTAAATTCTGTATGTATGATATCAACTGCCGTATGCAAACGGGGGGAACAAGAGAGTCGGGCTTAGGTGCCCAGCACTCTGGGTAGGGTAGGCTGGAGGTATCATAGTGGATGCCGCTAGACGGTGGGGTGGCATGTCGTGGAGGTGTTTGGGGGCACCTTGGCGGGTAACACAATCCTGGAGTGGGTTGGTAACCACCAAGGTGTTCATGGAAGATACGAATCGAGCCGCCGCACTACCGGTGCTTCCCTCTCACGAGAACCGCCGTCGGGTATGGTACAGCGCAGGCACAGTGCTCGTTTGGGAGGCCGATTGTTGCAAGTAAAATTCCGTGATCACGGTCGCTGGAATTTACCCTTCAATGGCCAAATCATCTCAACCGTGTTTAATCATTATCATGAGCCATGCGCGAAACCTCTAGTCCGTTTCAGGGTCACGAAAGCTCAGCTCCAACTCCTATCAAATCTGGTCTCTTGGCGTGGGATGTCCCTCGTCGAGGACCCTTTGCACCCTTGCCCTTTATGATATATCCACCTGACATCTTCTCCTTCGTGGATGAAAAACAAAGGAAAATTTGGGTGCTTGGGACGCATCTTACCAGACAAGGAAGAGGAGTTGATACTCTACTCGAGCATTCTACTCGTACAATACGAGCCCTCCCACTTCAAAGTGGGTTTATGGTATGATCGCGGGTCCCCAATTGGCTTGATTACCCCCAAAAAATCGTTGCTTCGAAATTTGCGGATTTTCGGATGGAAAATCATGTGTGTATGCATCACTTGAAGGTTGGACAGCGGGATCGTGCTGTACGCACTCTTGTAGCCAAACAAACAGAATTTCTCTTGGGGGCTGGGAGGATGCTTCTTCGCACGGGATACCGGTGTTGATTACCGGTGATATAGCGCTCGTCTGATGATCACCAGCCGTTATCGCCATCGATGGCCCCTCCGCTGATTGGCTGCGGAATTGGCCACCATACGGTACTACGGAACTTGTGGTAGGAGTGCAAGTAGGAGTACCGTACTCGCACATGCCAATGCCTCGCTAGTCTCACGAATCAGCTTGTGAGCGATCTAAGAGGTTACAGCCCGTGAAACGGCGACTTCCCTAGGGCCCCGCAAATCTCGAGATTGGGGACAACCGGGTGTCATCGGTATCCCCGGCGGTGTGATTGGTCTCCCGGCTGCCTTGGTTCGGAAACTTGGATTAGCGTGGGGAGTGGCACTCGTGCAGCGTGGCGCCATGTTCGGATTGATTTTGGTTTCTGCTGAGAAGGAGGCGGTACCGGCATTTATACTACGGTGCTGTACTCTGTAGTATTTATTTATTGTGAGTGGTGGGGGGTTTAACTTGTCTAGTTTCTACCGTATGTGCCGGATCGGTGAGACTGGGATAGATGGATTATATCCAATCGTTGCACTCGCTTCTTCCAACAGACCGCACGACATTGTCATCGACTTGGAAGGTCGTAGCCAGATCGGGTCGGCCGGCATTACCGGTGGGTTACTCGAGTAAAGCTTTCTGTCATCCTTTCCTTTTTTGTTTGTTTGGCAGGGATTCTCTCACAAATGGCGGGGTGGAAAACGCAAACCGCCACACCATAAGATGGTTTATTGCGATATCGTATGTGACTTCCCTGGCCTTGAGCTGCGCTGGTGAACCATTTCTTCCTCACCTGAATCGAAGCTCGAGTGATCTGTGGTGATTACCTACTGTTCCTCATGGTTGGGCTGGTGACCAGAGCCTGGGGAAGGGTCCGGTTGAGCCATGTTTCCCGTATGTTGGACTGTAGAGTACTGTACGTACTGTACCGTAATAGGCATAACTCATTAGCGCAACGCCAAGTGTGACTAAAACATCGACTGCGGTGGTACAGTGCTCGTGCTTCTCAGCCAGGATTTGGCTCCCCATTTATCCTAGCTCGTGGCGCCAGCTCTTTTCTGCCGAAGGGGCATAACCTATCAGCAGCGTGGAGCGAGCGCGGAGGCCTAAACATTGGGGGAACAGTGCCGAATCGAGTTGGCACGAATTCACTGAAATTTATAGACATCCGGATTGCGGCATAAGATGTTTTCCTCCAAAAAGTTAGACCTTCATACTAATATACTCTCTACACACTACCAGCACTAGCAGACTATGCCCCCTCAGCAGAGACGAGTTTGAGAAGCGCGAGTGGGGGTTGCCCTTTCTACTGAATAATGAAGAGAGCTATTGGGATGCAAGAAAATAGGTATAGCAATCGGGGAACATCAGAGAATGAGGGAGCGTATCATAGGTAAAGGGGATTTCGAGGGTTTCCCGGAAGCATGGTCATGACAGCTCATGGATAGAGAAGGACTGGTAGCGGTGGTACTGTGCCAGGTGTGAGTGGTTGTGAATGGTCAAGGGTGTAATTTCGTCTTCCATCAGCGGTCTTAAATTTCTTTTGTAATATTATGCCGGTGGTTCAGTCGACAGTGCCGGGCTTGGTAGAACAAGAAATTTGCGAGTGCTAGCGTTGAAGGGGTTTCAAGCGTACTCGAGTACAGCATTCCGCACTTTGGAGCTCCAGTTAGTCTAACTACCCCACCTCTCTCTTTGCTGCATTGGTCTCTCGACTATGGATCTCGAAAACCAAGCAGCGAAATCGCATTGTGAACTAAGAAGCCTCACTATGCGCTATGATAGTACTGGTACCGTATGATGTCTGTATGATATATCTTCGAACTATGTCGCGGATCCGGGATCTGAATCGGTTGTAGTGGCTTGGTTCCGTTCATGGAGCGTTCTGGGTTCATCCTTTTCGAGCTCTTAATTTTTGGATTGACCCTCCTTCCTGCCTCTCCCGGCTTACTAGGAATAATAATACGTTGGCACCATAGGTAAAGGAATATGCTGTATTCACTATTAGTGCGGGGGTGCCCTGGGTAGATTTTCTTGGGCTTGTCTTGCCTCTTGTGAGCCATAAGGTTAGTAGGTACATGGTGTGGTATAACGGTTCTCGCATTAAGGGAGCCTCTTCTCTGGGATCGACGTACGACAATCGTGTCACAGCAGATCACTCTGTGTACGGTACCTGTAACACCCCGGATCCTGGAGTTCTGAAGAATCCCCCGCGAATCCAGCGAAGCTGGGGCTAAAATTTCAGAGGTAGCTCTTGAAGGGAGCATCACTGGTGCACTTTCCGAGGTATCCCGTGCCCACGGGGAGTTTGAGTACTTCCAGGAGCCCGAGAAATGGTCATCTTAACGGAACCGGCACAAGTGCGGAGGCTTTGGTGATAGGAAGGAATGGGCCGGTCAATATTGCACTCGTACAGGAACTTTCTCTATCTTCTCTATTATTCTATAGACAAAACCATCAAAGCTTTCCCCGTGGCCCTGAAATCGATACAGGTACACAATTGCGCAGGGATAACATTGGCATACCGTACAGGATAAGCCAGGGCGCAGCGTGGGCACAAAATAATAGTAATAATACTCGTACCATCCCAAGAGAAGATACCGTAATGGTGGGGCTCGATGACAAATGGGTCTAGTCTATCTTTCTTCGCCTTCAACTCGCCAGTGGTTATTACGTTTTACGAAAATCTTGGCGAGAAAAGCAGGCTTGGGGGGGAAATCGCATCACGGGATATCTCGAAGCATGTCGAGAGGAAATTATGAGTCCCTTTTGGGTAACTTCTGGAGTGCCGGGACCGCGCTAGGCATCATTTTTTCTGAGAAAACCTACAGGTTGGCATCCCAATACAGTTGAAGGACAGTCGAGGCGTAAGCCCTCCAGACGGGCAGGGTCTACGAGGGAATTTTCGACATGTTGCTGCTAGGGTTATTAGTCATGATCTTTGTTAGAGGAAAAATTATGAAAGTTATAATACTTGTAGGAGGATTTTGTAGGTTGGTGAATTAGTAGACTACTGAGAGAGAGTGGGCCACAACAATCACACTGTGCTCCAGTTCTGGTGCTTGTGGTGTCTGCAGACTTCACCGTGATTTAAACCTTCAGCAGAAATAGATCATAGGGGAATTACCGGTAAGTTAAGCGCTCCACCGGGGGTCCTCGGGTTCTAGTGGCCTGATGGGCCCGGGTTTCTCTACTCGTACCCTTCAAACCCCTAACCTCTGAAATCCTTGCACTTTTGACGTCAATTTTACGACATTCGGAAAAACCGAGCTCTTTCCCCCTCCAAAGAAACAAAAAACTCTCAGGACTGTACTCGTAGAGCCAAGGCTGTATATTGGGTGAGCTGAAACAAGCCACTGTGGTCAAATTATCTCTGTTCAGTTTCTCCTCCCAGACATACCCGAATTGGGGCCCAATTCCTACTCTGCCTAAATCACGATGCCTGGTGAAGTGGCTGACCGACCGAATCCAACGCCGACAGCTTCAGACCTTCCAGAATCTGTTCTAGACCTCGCGGTCAAACTCGATACCAAAGATGTTCTCCCGGCGGTAGAGTTGAACTCTCTGGAATGTTTTAGGAGAGCGGCAAACTATATCGCCGCGGCTATGATATTTCTCCGGGACAACGTACTCCTGGAACGGGAGCTCAAATCCGAAGATATCAAACCGAGACTTCTGGGGCATTGGGGAACATGCCCGGGGTTGGTCTTAGTTTATTCTCACCTAAACAGGCTGATCGAGAAGTGGGGAAGTAAGATGATGTTTGTTGTTGGGCCGGGTGCGATCTACTCTGACAATTTGCCCGTGCTTGAAGCTAAAAAGTCAAAATAGGCCATGGCGCACCGGCAATTCTAGCGACCCTATGGCTGGAAGGCTCTCTGGAGCACTTTTATCCCGAGTATTCTGTAGATCACAGAGGCCTTCACAATCTAATCGCAAACTTCTCCACTCCGACGGGATTCCCTAGTCACATTAATGCACAAGTCCCCGGATGTATTCACGAAGGAGGAGAGCTAGGATATGCCCTTGCTGTTGCCTTTGGCGCTATAATGGATAAGAAGGACTTGGTTGTACCTGTGGTTATTGGTGATGGAGAGGCAGAATCTGGCCCTACTGCTGCGTATGTTTATCTCCCAGTCCTGGGTACTATATTCTAAGAAATACGACATTAGAGCATGGCACGGCTACAAGTATATCGATCCCGTAGAGTCTGGTGCCGTGCTTCCCATTGTCCATGTGAACGGTTTCAAAATTAGCGAGAGAACGATATATGGCTGCATGGATGATAGGGAAATAACCTCACTTTTCACGTACGACCTCCATCTCAAGATTTAAAGGTAGAATCTGACAATATTCAGGGGTTATGGTTATAAAGTCCGCATTGTCAGTGACCTTGAAAATATAGACAATGATCTCGCTGCCTCAATGGATTGGGCAATGGAAACCATCCGGCATATCCAGAAAGCCGCACGCAGCGGAAAGCCGATCGAAAAGCCTCGTTGGCCAGTCATAATTCTCCGAACTCCCAAGGGGTGGGGAGGCCCTAAAGAGCTTCACGGCAAATTCATTGAAGGCTCATTTCACTCTCACCAAGTCCCTCTTCCGGGGGCTAAAAGCGATAGCGAAGAACTTGGAGAGTTGCAATATTGGTTGAAAAGATATGATCCTATTTCTCTTTTTGACAAGAATGGCAAACCTGTGGAAACAGTGATGAAGGCAATTCCGACATGTCCCTTGAAGAGAATGGGGGTTATAAAAGATTCTTTTGAGGGTTACCAGCCACCGGATGTCCCCGACTGGTTAGAAATGGGTGTCCAGAAGCATGGCCAAGCATCCAGTATGAAGGCTATTGGCGATTTCCTCAAGGAGGTACTCAAACGGAACGAAAATTCGGTACGGATATTCTCTCCTGATGAGCTGGAGAGTAATAAACTCGACGCAGTTCTAGAATATACAGGCCGGAACTTCCAATGGGGTGAGCATACCCGGGCCAACGACGGACGAGTGATTGAGATTTTATCCGAGCATACTTGTCAGGGTTTCATGCAGGGGTACACGCTTACAGGACGGACCGGTATTTTTCCGAGTTATGAGAGCTTCCTGGGAATTATAAACACCATGATGGTCCAGTATAGCAAGTTTCGGAAGATGGTGTGTGTCCGAAAATCCTCCGGTAAAGGGAGTGTCTGATAAATTTGTTAGGGCAGAGAAACCCATTGGAGAAAGGATACAGCTAGCCTGAATTATATCGAAACTAGCACCTGGGCAAGGTATGATAAAATCCCTTACCGGTATTTTGTATGGAGAGGACAACCCTAACACAACCAGACAAGAACATAATGGACATTCTCACCAAAACCCCTCATTCATTGGTGCAGTCCTCAACCTCAAAGCTGATGCTGCTCGGGTGTATCTCCCGCCAGATGCAAATTGCTTCTTGTCAACTATAGCTCACTGCCTCCGCTCAAAGGTACTTCCGCCGTCTTTTCAAAATATCACTTCTTTGCTAACGCTGCACCCTTCCTAGAATTACGTAAACCTAATGGTCGGCTCCAAACAACCTACCCCCGTCTGGCTTTCTCCAGAAGAAGCACAAGCACATTGCCGAGCTGGTGCATCAATCTGGGAATTTGCCTCGACAGACAAAGGCCTCAATCCTGATGCCGTCCTTGTGGGGATTGGAACGGAGGTGACCTTCGAGGTCATTGCTGCAGCCTCCCTCCTCAGGACTCTGGTTCCGGAGCTTCGTGTACGAGTAGTAAATGTAACAGACCTCCTAATACTCTCTCCCGAAGACACTCATCCACACGCATTAGACGATGAAGCATTCAATTCCCTCTTTACACGAGATAGTTGTGTACATATCAACTATCACGGATACAAAGGAGAGATTTCCGGGTTACTATTCGGACGAAAGGGCATGGAAAGAGTAACGGTTGCTGGATACAACGAAGAGGGCAGCACTACTACCCCTTTTGATATGATGCTCCGAAACGGGGTTTCTAGATACCATGTTGCCATTCAGGCCGTCCGGGGAGGAGCCAAAGTGAATGGGGTTGTTGCGGTGAGGATGGTGACGGTGATAGGGGAGCTACAACATAGGATTCGGAAGACAGAGGAACATATTAGGAAGTGGCATGTCGATCCGGATGATGCATATAATGTTCCTAGGTTTGAATAAGTTCTTGGGGGTTTCCTGCCTCTTGGAATTTTTTTGGCTATGAGCGGAGGAAGAGCGGAATATCATTTTCTTTCAAAGATTTCTTGTAGATTTGTGCGTCGGCACGATGTTTGAGTAATCATGGATTTTTCTTTAAGCTGAACATACTGGTGTTTTGCGCCGCCCTATGTGAAGGATTTCGGAGAGAATAAGGTTCCACCCTATCGTTGAAATGTAGACTCTCCAATACCGGTATGATACTTCGCCGTTAAACTACCGTAGCTGCCGTTGCCGGGCTATCCCTCACCGTGCCAACCAATCACACGCCCCCTGAGTAATCCGTCAACCTCCCCGCCAGCCGGCCTTGGCACTTTAGTTTGCCCTCAACCTCACCATATCTTCACCAATCTCCCCGAGCATCTCCTCTCCATCGCACAACTATGTTGTCTACAACGCGTTCCCTCGCACTACGATGTACGTCTCCCTTCCACAAATCTTTCTCCCAGGGGTTCTGACGAATTTCACCAAGCAGCGGCAAGAATTCTCCCGGCAACCCCCCTCGCTACTCGGTCACTCTCAACTCCAACTTCTCTTGCCCCACGCGATGCATCCTCCATCGATCGCTCGAATAGGCGAGAGGTCCTCCTTCCTAGTCAAGTGCCCAAAAAGGGTATCATGCAATACGCCTTGTAATGCTACCCACTTCCTTACCCCTCAAGTCTACCGCTAATGAAATTTAGGACAACCCTCGACCAAGTCACAAATTGGGCCCGCCAGGGCTCCCTGTGGCCCATGACCTTTGGGCTCGCCTGCTGCGCTGTGGAAATGATGCATCTGTCAACGCCCCGCTATGACCAGGATCGTTTGGGGATCATCTTCCGTGCCTCCCCCCGCCAGTCCGACGTTATGATCGTCGCGGGTACGTTGACAAACAAGATGGCGCCAGCGCTGCGTCAGGTGTATGATCAGATGCCCGAGCCCCGTTGGGTCATCAGTATGGGTAGCTGCGCGAATGGAGGTGGATATTATCATTACAGTTACTCGGTTGTGCGGGGATGTGATAGGATTGTGCCGGTTGATGTTTATGTCCCCGGATGTCCGCCGACTAGCGAAGCTTTGATGTATGGGATTCTGCAGCTACAGAAGAAGATGAGAAATACTAAGGTTTGATATTTTCCTGACTCTTTAGCGGGTGGTTTGGCTGACAAATGTATGAATAGATTACGAGGATCTGGTACCGCAAGTAAATGGTGTCCAGCCTTGCTGGTGGAGGGAAGTGACCACTTTGGCCGCCGCTTGAAGTGAAAGTCGATGTGTACACTGCAATACCAAGGTCTACATTTTTTCTTCTCGTTTCACCGGTTCAAATATAGGGTTCCCTTTTTTCCTTATACTCGAGGGTTGTGATTCCTGCATATAGCCTCGTTCGCGCCGAAAATAAATATCCGGTGATTGTGCGGGGGGTTGCGACGACAACCCAAGCATCATTAATATGCGGGAAGCAGCCTCCGGGACTTGCGAGAAGACTCTAAAAAGATCGCCTTAAATCGTGGTTTGGAGGACTCCCGGACAATATCACTCTAGAGGGGACAATGAAAGTAACGCTACTATAGCATTACCCCCTGGCTGTGCTCTAGAATTATTTAGGGAGGGCTCAATAGAGGGATTTCGCGGCCTAGAGTTATGGGCCGCTTCCCTGACAACTGTGCTTACTATGGCGATAGGTAGGGACTTGCTGCGGTGCTGGGTGAGATGCCACTGTTTACCTCACTAAGATAATCCGCGATCCCCCAGCTTAACTAACAAAAGTTTTAAGTGTACTATGGAAGTTATTTCATGCTCACGCCTGGCTATTATCACAGTCATGTTATCCCATCCTACGGTATAAGGGTTTCTTTAATTTGTTTCTTGGTATCCTTCCACCACGCGCGAGTACTGTATATAAATTCTAGCAGAGTGTTTCCCCTCAAACCCCTCAAAACCTAGTCCCCCCGCAGACAATGCAGCAATTAAAAGGTTTCCTCTCTTCGGCCTTTGCAAGTTCCCCTGGCTAGCTGTAGCTTGCCTCTCGCCGGCGACGAGCAGCTGCCCTCAACAGGTTGCAATTGTGGAAATAGGCCAACATGGAATTCTGAGAGCCTTCCGTACCTTTTATGATATCAATACTAGTAAGCGGTTGCGTTTGTCAAAACCCAATAGAATATTTTGGTTCAGCTCTGCCCGAATTGTCGGGGCTTTCGGGGATCTCAGCGGGACTGCTTGCGCCGAGACATTTTGCGATAGTCCCATCAGTGCCCGTGCAACTCACCCGTTAAATTAATTGCTGCCTTCTTCTCGTATCCGAGTATGGTGGTAAGTGCAATAGCTCAATCAACCCCCCCTCTTCCCCACCAATTTCTCTACTCGAGTACTGTAGAATCCGTCCCTCAACGTCAATTCCACAGGAACCCCATGAGTCTTAATTCCCAGCCATTTCCCGCCCCGCCAATACTGGCGATAACGATGTACGAGTAATCTAGTCGGGGTATCAATCTCACCGCCCTAGCTGAGTTACCGGCGTTCTGAAAGGGTAGTCCCTTTGTTTTACTCGTAGAATAGATAGCGCAGCCTGGAACATCATCCCGGGTCTTAGCTATCTGGCTCTTCTCACTACTAACTCCATCACATCAGCAAGTGCAAGAACACAAACATTTTCAGCGATTAGCTAAGGATTGCGGTACGGGAGCAGATCTTTGATGATTAGGGCTAAGGTTACTACTGGCCCCCATCGCCCGGATCCCTTAGAACGGTTTCAAGCACTTGAATGAGTGGCAAAACAACCCAAAAATCTCCACGAACCGCACCCCATTCTCTTTAAATAATCTTGGTTAGGTTAGTGATCTTCCCTATCTATCGTTAAACCCTCCGAACAGAAATATCCCGTCTCCTGAACTAGAAGTAGTAGCGTGTGGAATTCGAAAGCGGGCGAAGGGATAGTAATTGAGTTTAAATTTACTGAAATTGACCAAATTACTGCCACGGGCGCCGTGGCGAAACACGGAAGTCTGAAGTTTAGAGTTGGAATGTGGTGCTCGAGTGGAGTATCATACCTCGGCCAACCGGATTGGATATCCGAATTTCTCCTGACTACGAGATGCGGTGGTCGTGAGCGTCTGAGCCCTCTAGACTCAGTCCTCATCGATTCCGATTTCTGTACCGGTAACGGAACTGTAGCGGAGATAGATACGGTAGTTTCATCGTGCCCGAGTAGACTATCTCGCTATCGGCATTGCAGAAGCTCACACCCGTCCGGCACATTACAGGGATCTGTATGGGAAAATAAATGCAGCCCTCAGTACTCGCATAGCACCGGTAATACCGACAGCTCTTTGCAATTCTGCTACCTTACTGTACCGCTCAGTTGGGCTAGGAATCATCATTCTCTACCGGAGGGCGCTGGTCCTTTCCTAGGGCCTCTATAATCACCACTGCCCTAACACCGGTATGAGTGTTACTGGTATCCTACTCGGAGAGCTTGCTGAGTTAGAACGAGCACTTCTTCCGGTAGGTTCGGTCTCGCACAGGAATTCACTATCAGGGGATCATTGACCTTTCCGAAAGCGGGATAGGGAAGATGTCACCATGATGGCAACGGCTTTGGCGTGCTGTAAGGAACGCGTTCTCCCGCAGTGATCCGTACTATACCAGCACAGTACTCGAGTACAGCACGAGCACTGCTGCGGTACGGCGCAGCAGCTTTGTCCGCTCGTACAATACTCGAGTATTGAATGTAAAGACGCGACATATTACTTGTGCCCGTATTCGACTACTCGAGTACTGTTATGTTCCTGAGGGGGACGATTGGAGAAGGTTGATCCCTATTCAATATCTGCCATCCGGGGTAAGGTAACAGGGAGCTTACGGTACCCTGTGGGCTGTTTTAAGATACTTGTACAGTACTGTTTCTGTGCGCTTCGATTCCTTGGGCCCCGCGCGATTCGCACCTATCGCCGCCCGGAAACCGTGATCTTCCTCGCCGTCTCTGGTGGGGATCAACCCACCGGCATACCGGTACTGGTGCTGCGGTTGTAAAGCTTGTGCAAGAAGCAACTCCGAGCAAGCAACACTCCTCCACCTCCGCTGAGGAGAGGAGGGGTGAAATCCGAATTGGTTGGTAGACGTCATGGCAGACGTCAGTCTTTTGCCATCCAGCGAGGAGGGAGAATGAATGAGGGCAACTGAATCAGGGCTTTCACTTTCAATCCCCAATGCGGTTCCCTACTAAGTTACCGAGCCTTTTGGATGACGTTGGATTTTGAGCCTTTGGAGAGGCAGGAGATGCGAATTCTTGTCTCCGAGCTCAGAATTGGCACCCATTCGCCCTTGGGATGGGCCTAAGCTGTGGTGTGATGCTACCGGTATTCCAAGAAGGGTGTCAATTCTTGGCGCGGGGACGTGACTGGATTCGCCTATATAAACCGGGAGTTCTTTCGTTGGTTTAGGAGGGACTGACTCGATGATGAGAGAGATTTCAACCGTTATACAACTACTTTTGTTATTTACTACTTTCGCATAACCAAAACAACCAATTTGCCGGATTAAATATTGAAATGGACTCAGCTAGCGATCAGAAGAACTTGGGCAATGTCATCGGTGGACACAAGGCCAATCTCCACAACCCCAGTAATATCTCATCCTATCTCACAATACGTCTATAACTAACGGTACCCCCAGACACCTCGGAAGAGGCCAAGCAGCACTCCAGGGAGGTTCTCGACGGGCTCGGTCTTGAGACCGGAACCTACACCAGCGGACCTGGCGATGCAGACGTGAACATTGGGGCAAAGAATCCCGGAAACGTTGCTGGCGGGTACAAGGCGTAAGTTTGACCACTTGGCACTTGTAGAGGCGGGATATCCTGTTAACCCATGATACCAGCACCTTGCACAATCCCAATGTTTCCGAGGAGGCAAAGGAGCGTGCTCAGGAGAAGTTGGAGAAGTTGGAGAAGATGGGAGCTGAATAGGCGGGCAGGGTACCGGAATACCAGGAACCATGGAAGGTGGGGTCATGTAACAGTAGTATCGGTATCGGTTCTGGGTGCATCTATAGATGATGCTATGATACCTGGCACGGTGCCCTGTGATGAATCCTCAAGGACCTGTTGCGACGGCGGGTGTTTGCATGAGTGAAAACCAGTAGCAATACAGTAGATACCTTTTGGTGAACCTATCTTAAACCGTGTGCTAATTTAGCCAATTGGATGGAACAAGTCAATAGCCCTATTCAACCTTTCTTCGCACGGTTAATGCCCCCACCAACCGTGATTCTGGATTACCAATACTGCAGATGAGTCGGGAAGCATTCCTAAGTTAAGGCATGTTAAGATCGATCTTACTGTACCAGTGCAAGTACGATCGTACTCGAGTACATTGTTTTGTTTTTTTGACAAGCCATCCACAATCTACGAGTGATTCCCCATGGGGATCTACACCAGGTTCAGCATCGAACCCTCGACGCCCCCCCGAAACCCGGACGCAATACTCTAAATAAGGTGATCACAAGTCATAAATAGTGACGTAGTGTTTCCCTGTTATACACTAATCAATTTAGGGCTTCCTGGCTGCATTGACCACGGCCTGGTTTACCACTCCCTCACCATTAAATTCCGTCAGCGGTTACTCCACACAAGGGGGTATTGTCATTAGATATCAGTGATCGGCGTCTGTGCTCTCCCTTCTCTTGAGGACTCATCTGCTCCGGCAATGAATTAAATGTTTAACTATAATTTTAAGCTCGGGAGGAAGGTACGGTATCTGCCTGTCAGCATGGCAAGCATTGGCTCCCGTGGTAATATTATGTGAGATGCCTAACTAGCACAATGGCTGGTGCACCAGGAATCAATTGATCTCCATGCAATTGGCAGGAAGGACAACAAATCCTGCCCCCGAGAGACTGGGAGATTGAAGGTCTTAGTCTTTATTGCTGAAGCTGTAGGGGGGGACTAGTCTTTCTGCGAGGTGGTATGATTTGGCCTGACTCTAGACTATACACCTAGTAGTTAGATCTTCTATCAGAAGGCTTGAGGGGAGAAAAAAAATTGCTTCAAATTGTTTTTTTTTGTTTCAGCTCCTTGGATCTAGAAAAGTCACTGCAAGCTCAGGGTGTTCTCTGTGGTTGAGGTGACTAAATTCACGGGCAGGGGTGACCAGTTACCACCGAACCACTCCTTTCCCATTGCCCACCCTCCATACTACATTTCCACAAAGAAAGTCAGGTATGAACTGTTACTACTACTTTTACTAAGAGATATAGGACCCCTTTCAGAGTTTCGGGAAAGCCCCAATCCCGCAAGAAAGTGTCAGAATTTTATTATTCAAAATAGTACCATAAAGTTGGCACGATTCAGGTCCTAGAGGTGGCAATGGTTCGGACACAATTCCTTCCCACTCAACTCATAATCATCCAGACCTCATCGGAGGCTATTTTGCGATTCTTAAAAATGATGCCGCACATGATCTTGGGAAGCACCAACTGGGGCCCGGACGTTCGTTAGGGCCATCAACTCGTTATCACAAGAAGTCACTCGTGTGCGAGACCCTAGCCAATAGCATTATCAGGCTGTATTAGTCCTGGTGACGGCTGGCTTGAAAGTAGGACACAATCTTCCTGACGGAGTTGTGGTATAGGAAAGACTCCAGCGCTTACATTGCTCAAGGTATGGGTGTGTAGGACGGTACTTTAATCGGTGCTCTCCTCCATAAAAGCACAGTTGCAATCCAACGTCGAATAGCTCTCACTTGTAAACAGAGCTCCCGCGAGTACCCTATCCCGACTAGATATGGAGACGGTGCAAGACTTGCAGCGATGATGTGAGACAACTCCTGGCAGGGAGAATGCTGAATGCCTAATGTTCTGGGTAACCATAGATTCTAGGACGGTGTGGATAAGCATCGAAGCATGGAAATACCGATAACTACTATCCTTTTTTTGCTCAAGAAGCCCCTGGGGAGGACATACATGCACACACACACTGAGCAACAACATACACGGGGAGCAGACAGTACTATAAATACGCCATCCGTGAACGCCCTCACCAATCCTTCACCCTCCCAAATCCCTGGGTCTCACCCGCCAGTGGTCCCGACCTCAGAGTCAAATCCACCACCCCAGCTATTCAACCCTAGCTCTCACCACCCATCCAGAGCACCTTAAACCCCCTCCCCCCCGGTATGATAAGGTACCAAGGCCATCACCACTAGGCCGCCTTCCGCAGCACCCACCCCCCTTGTATGGTACCAGCCCCAACCCCCCATCCCAGAATCTCCCAAATTCCACCCCGTGGCGAGAGATCCCAAACCACCCATCCCATCAACAACCAAATGCGCCCTCGATCCGGAGGTCCAAAAATCCCTCCTCACGATCCTGGGCCAAAATTTCTAGTGCAGACATCAGCACAGTAAGTGAGCTCAGCCCCGCGAACAAAGGTGCAAACACGCTGCTAGGTCACCCTTCCCCGCTTAGTCAGGGGACGATAGCCACAAGTGCTCCGCCTTTTTGCGAGCCCATCCACCCGAATGGAAACCTTTCGAGCGGGAATGGCCCCTGTAGTGGACTCAAAAATGCACCCATCCTTCACGTTAAGCATCATTAAGTCCCTGAACTGAAAGCCAAGCTAGAAATCATTGTGAGCGACGCCAGCATTAGTAACGGCATGTTGGAAGACATCACCATCAAGGAATTTGATTTACATTGTGACAATACATCCCCTTCCCATCTAATGAGGAAAGAAGAAAATTTAAGAGAGCCCCGGGAATAAAAGGAATCATGTCCGTGGCCCCTCTCCTCCTGGTCCAATTCGTGCAACCCTACCTCCCACAGGACCACCCTAGTGGAACCATCAACACTCTAGGTGCAAATTCGAGAACAAGCTTCGTCCAGCAGACAGCCTCCAGTGGGACCAAAGCAGCGCTAGAAGTAATGGCGCGATCCTAGTTCTGAGAGCTGTCATCCAGATATACCATCAACGCCATTAATCCCGGCCTAGTAGCCACTGACGTGTACCCCTCATTCCTACTCTCTCCACCTCCGTGAAATACTAAAGCAGAACAGGTTCGGGGGCGTAAGTGGAGGCTTTGACCAGCTTGCCCGCTTGCCCACCTACGAGCCACTTATGCAGTGAGTAGAAAAAGAAAGAAAGCCGCAGGTGAGAATGTTAGCAGGTGGTACGGGTGGCTGCCCTCTTGTACAGTTGTATAGGGTTTGGGTGAACCAGGGGCAAGGAGAGAAACTCGGCAGCCATGTATTTCCCTCATAATTATTATATAGCCTCGGTTGTAGCTAAGAAATACATCAATTCATTCCACCCACCTCACTCATCCAACAGAGGATGTGGTCCTTCCGACGGAGGGGAGGTGAAGGAACTGTCAATGCGGGGAGGCTGCGGGGTTGGTGGGACAGCCCACACCGCTGGATACCATCCGGATTCCCGTAGACACTGTAGTATTTTATTTAGAATTGGTTGGGGTGAACTGGGGGTGGGAGAAAATGTTCATGGGTGGCTATGCTTAGGGCCTGCAAATGCCCTGCCCTATTGGGTATAGAGAGCGGAAGGGCTAGGCTGTGGAATACACCCTAAGATTGGAAATACGGTTTAGTAAAATTACAAAGATTGGCACTAAGCATATCCGCCTGGTTAGCTCAGTGGTAGAGCGTGTGGCTTTTAACCTCAATGTCGCGGGTTCGACCCCCGCATCAGGCTTGCCGGTTTTCCTTCCTTCCTGGATAGACTTTTTTCCACCCCAGGAATACTTTTATACCCACTTCTTTCCTGTCCATCAAATTATAGCGAGGGGTTTCATAGCACTGGATTTCCCTCGGGAGGGTGAATATTCCCCGTAGCTCAACAATGGAAATTGTGTAAAATCTATTTCTGAAAGTAGTTTACACATCTCTCTCGTAGCGCTATAGTGAGCTAAAAATTAGTATCTCCCTCGAGTGATAGGTTATGCCTGGCACTGATAAACTTGGTTACTGTGGGAACAGGAATAATTTGAGGACGTTGGAGTCGCCTCTCTTGGCAAGATCTGCTCTATTTTCTTCTTATTGGTCTCACATGAGGGCTGAAAAACGACCTCTTCGCTGTCATTCCTCCCTTTAATCCAAAGAGGGAAATTATGAGCGTCTCAACGCGATTCACAATAACTCCAATTCTTACGATATGGTATTCTACCTATCACGGTGAACTTGGACCGCAGTTGAAGTCCAAAAAACTCCTATGAGATATATTGACGAAGAAAGCCTAAGACGCTGGACAAAAAATCACAACTGTATCTACAAACCTCATCTAAATCCTCCAGTCCTTCCCCAGAAGGGATTGATAGACTCCATCCGAGAGGCAGAGCTGACCATCCTACCCAACCACCTCACCAGGTAACTAGGTACCCGACACCCTACGTCCCACGCCAACACCTACCTGTACTCAAAGTTCAGTCGGCGCCCACTTCGACCTCTTCCTAATCCTCGCCCCGAAAAAGAAGAATCCAATAGGAATAGGTATCATAGCGATAGCTATAAATCCTAACAACGATCCGGCCCAGTTGACTCCGAGGTTGTGGAACATCTGGCGACCAAAAAGGGGGAACCCAGCGGCGAACGCGGAGCGGAGGAACGTATTCGCGGCAATGGCGGAGGCAGCGCTGAGATGTTATTAGCGCGGCAATCGAACGGGCGGATAGGATAAGATGCACTTACAACATGAGGTATGCATCGATAAGGTAGTTTAGGGATTGCAGGAAGATTGTTATCAGGCCAATGCCGAGAGGGATACCGGCGAGCGTTGGCGCAGCCCAGTGGACATTTGGGTAGTTTCCGCTTTGAAATACCTATCAGCCTAAAATAAAACCTAAACTAGGCATATCAATTCGGGAATTCTCACGTCCAGGAAAACCAGAAAATTCCGATTGGGAAGAGAATACTCCCTATGATGGCCGGAACCAAGCGATCTTCCGGAATGGGTACATTGTTATTCGCCCTCATCCGCCTGTTTGTCCATGGCTGGAAAGCTATAACGAGGAGTCCCCCGAAAAGCATCCCGACGACCATCCCAATATACGGTAGTGCGGACACTCCAAGTCCATAACCACGCATTTCACTGAAAACGATCGGGTAGGCCGTCAAAAAAATGTAAAGAATACCACTGCGGGGAATATGTTAGCAATTAATCGCCCCGTCGGAAATAGATCACAATAGTTACTAGACAAAAGCAGTGTACAGACTAAGCAGGAGTATTATCGGCTCAGTGACGAGAAGCTTGAGCGGACGCGAAAAGTTCTTTTCAACCAATTCCCTGAAATTGACTTCTAGCTCTTCCTGCTTGGCGTGGATCCCCCAATTCTTTGTCAGGCGGCGAAGTTTGGTGGCTTTCGCTACCAGGATCACCGGCGGATATGTCTCCTCCAGGAAGAATATGCACAAGAAGAGTGCAAAGAAACCCATGATTGCCGTGATGTATTCCGTCCACCTCCACTGTCAATTTATCCCTTGATCAGCAATAAGGCATGGTCGTTGCGAATTACGCTGGCCGGAGACTTACGCCCAAGTAGCTTTCTGCGATGAACCCACCCGCGATAGGAGCGAAAAGTGGTCCGGAGAACACGGCCATAGAGAAGACCGCGATCGCGGTTCCCCTGGTTTCCTGACCAAAGATGTCTGCGAAAACAGCGCCGACAACCGCCAGCGGAGAGGAAGCAAAGAACCCGCCCCAAAATCGGCATATCAGAACTGTCTGGACATCCTTGGCTACCGCGACGGCAATCTGAAAGATTGAAAATCCAAAGATCCCGAGCAGTAGTGGAGGGCGCCGGCCTTTGAGTTCGGAGTAGGGTGCCCATACCAGAGGCCCACTTGCGAACCCAAGCACATAAAACGAGAGCCCTAAGGTGGCCACTTCGGTACTTATTCCGAAATACACTAAAGTTGAAGTCAAAATCTGTGCTGCGTTTGGCAATGATAACCATATCAAGGGTACATGTGTAGCAATGAGCGCTTACTCGCTACCTGTGCTGTAGCGGAAGAAAATACACTACTCCCCCATGCTGACACCAGCGTAGTATATCCTAGGACAGCCGCCGTTATCAACCTAAGCCCAATCAACAGAAATCCTTGTGAACTCTCGTTTATCGCATCACACACTTCTTTTTCAATGGCCAATTCTGACCATGAACGGGATCATCAGGACCAGAAAAATCCACCAGGTACCGGTCACGATGGGGCAGCGGAGGAGGATACTCCCTTCCGCCCCCAAAGGGCGGGAGCTCTCCCTTTAAAGCAAACCCTACCAGACCGCATGCAGCAGTACTGCTGTGGTTAGACAAGTGAGTCCTCTGCCGTTCAGCCTCGATCGGGTGTTGGCGCGTTTCTGGCTGTGTAGCCTGCCGACTCAATATTGAATTGTCATCCGACGTGGAGGGTTGGCCTGAGGAATGTGGAGAATAGCTGTCTCCGTTGTGCAACTGGCGGGATGCCTGCCTTTCTGCCTTTTCAATACTGAGAGCAACCTCACTTGGGCCCCACATGGCTGCTCACTCGTTCCTTCGTTTTCCAATGTTAGCTTTCACCTCACCCAAAACAATCGAAAATGCCACCCAACCTTTCCTCTCCTTTCGAAGGAGTCAGAGCTAATGAAACGAGGAGATTTAAGTGAGAAAATTGACGAGCACAGGCTTTTGAGGAGGAGTTGGCCTAGGCCAAGTACAGTATAAAAGTCAAATGATACCATCCTGCCGTAATTCCGAGGTGGATACCAGATACGGTGCTCAAAGCTCGGAACTCCTTCCGCCCCTCTTTCCTTAGTGAATAGTAACTTTAGAGCTAGGGAGATCCCATAACCAGGAAAGGGTTTTTGGTACACCGGGATACCTGACAGGACAGATTACACCACAATAGCAATACGAGGTTTTTTGGTCCCTTCCTTGCAAAAGAGTGGAGAGGAGAGCATCTGCACCCCTTCACGCCTTCTAGAATTAGATAGTTCTTCCACTGGTGTGGGGCCGGGCATGGGGGCATGGCAATATTGGCTAGCAGCCTACACGCGAGACTTCAACTCAGCCGTGCGAGTACCTGAGTACAGTGTCGGCGGAGCGCATTGGACCCTTAGCGGGCTACCGAATACCGAAGGAATTCTAAGGAAAAATTGGCCATTGTTCCCTGCCAGAACCAGCGCAGGCATCCCTGCTGATAGACAAAAATCAAAAATTCCAAAGCAGAGCCCAGGACTCGAGTACTATACCGCGTTACAACCATTCGCCGGAACCCGTATCGAAGGACAAAATCTCCGATTACCAACAGGCGGAGGGCCATAGATGGAAGTCTTAGACAGGAGCTCCCAGACCAAATCGAGTGGTACTATACGGTAATGGTCGCTCCGCCACAGTTCTTGGAGCATCTCTTCGTTCGTGGAGTCGTAAATCTAAATTCGCCTCGGTACAGTTCGTTCCGAGAACCATGGAAACCCTTTATGCAGCCTCCACGAAACAGAAACTTCTCGAGCAAGCAAGCCACGCCTTTCTCATCGCATCACAGGAAAATCGAGGGGCGAAACGTCCTTTTAAATTTCCGCCCATTACCGGTGCCCCACTCACCAGAACAGGAAGTAGGTATCCATCCGGATCTCGGCACCAACCGAGCCCTAGTGAGCCGGTTGCGTCACAGCTACGGGGAGCCGAGGCTGTCTCAATTATCAGTTTCTATCTGATAATGGTATGTTCGTAACGTTGTAAAATAATAGGAGGAGGTAAAACAGAGGAAGATGGTGACACCAAGAACCCAACTGCAAATATCAAACCTGGTGGAGCCGTCGCTCGATCCGTACCTCCTATCCGTAGTTCCCCCCAACCCGCCTGCTACCGTACTGTCAGGTGTCCTCTGAGACTTCCGGTATTGGTTGGATTTCTCTCGGTAGATGTGGTCAGCGTTCTTTGATGGGTTACTGGCACAGGGGATTGGTCAGTCGTCAGTAGCTTGAGTATTCGATGCTGTTGAGGATCGCTAGGTTAGAAGAAGATGAAGACGAAAGAAATCAAAGAGTTTTCATTCTGGTTTCTGTCCATGACCATTCCGATTTTTCCTCTCCTCCTTCTTCCAAAGGGTCCCATCGACCTCCTTTTATAATACAGCTTGCGCAACGAACAGAATTCAATCATCTACAGCAATTGGTATGCGTGGAAGTATGACAACCGTCCACACATGACAAGTACGAATCTCCACACAATCTAGGATGAACCACAACGTAGGCTTGACAGTACCCCGCTACCTTCACTAAAGAAAATGTTCAGCGGGAAGAAATACAGGTAGAGATTTTCTAGACTCCCAACTTAGCCAAGCTAGTGAAAAGAAAACTTTAAGTTAGCCGAGAGAGACATCATTTCCCTAACGGCATAGCCAGGAGCTGGCAGGGAGGAACTCCATCCCCTCCCCCTTTAGGGCTAAGAGTTTCTAAGAACACAGACCCATTTCTACGCAGGTACAGTATTTCTAGAATATGGTAAAGAAGTCCCCGTGCAGTGCTGAGCTCGAAAAATTCCTTTAAACGACCCACACAGAGCACCAGGAAAGACCTACTCTAGTGATGAGACAAGAGAGCTTGTTTCATCCGAGCACTGAGACCGCTTGTTCAAGTATCATACGATACCATACTCGCTGATGCTTTACAAGTCTTTCACCCAAACAACCCCCCGAAATCCCCCTGCTCCCCACACCCTGCGCGGGGCCCGCGCGGAGAGGGGAACCAAACGCACCCGGGCCGGGCATACCGACATGATACGGAGTCCTAAACATGACAATGATACGGGATCTGTAGCCCCCCCCGTTTTGAGCTGGGGTTACCCAACTCCTAACGTAAGTGATCTCATCCGACTACGTGTGATACAGATAGCATCGCCTTTTCCTAATCTGACAAGCCTATTGTGGTAAGCAATGTAGAGGATTCAAGTTTCTGGGAAAACTTATAGTACAATTAATTGAGGTTGACCAGCCAAAATACATCCCGGTTCGTTCAGGTTAACAGAGCCTACCCTTGTACTTTGTACAGTAGCACTGCTCTAACTGCAAGATTTCAAATCAAATACAAGGGAAGAGAGCAATGGAGTTACCTCTCAAGTACTAAATTACTAAATCCGCTCATTTTCCGTTGGCCCCGCCTGATAATACCCTACAAAACTTCAATGGCTGGTCGGCATATGGGCAGAAGAGGGCTACTCTACCTTCAGTGAAGAAAAAACAATGCTTATTAGAGCCATTGAGATGCCATATAAGCTACGTGCCCTAGGGGCGTCTCACACTTGAATATAACCAGTGTTGGCCGGGACCCAAAAAACAGGACGGAAACCGCCCGCAGCCCAGAAAGTATGCTGCCCCCTAAGGTGAAAGGAAATGATAATGAAGTGGGCCAAGAGATAGCGAGTACAAGTGCTATAAATGGTAGGGGGTACTGAAGACTCCCAAACATAAAGATGTCTAAACACAGTCAGGGTTACCGGTAACTAAAACTGTGTTATCCCGGGATGGAGCCATACTTCTGAGCCCATTACTGACGAATCCGATCTCAGTGAGGACTATCTGAACAGGGACTTCAACAAAGTAGCGAAAGCATTATAACGGCCAAGCGATCAACGATACTCGGTCCATACCAGCACCACCACATCAGTTACTGAATGAAGAAAGAGACCCTAGAAAAAAAAGTGTGATATCATACCATACCCCTGGGAAAATCTAAGCTAGCGCCTAACCCGATACCTAAACATGCCATAAGCGGGTATTCACCACCCCGCAGTTAGGGCCTTAACATACACCCCACTCTTGTGCCACCCCTTACTACTCTAGCGATAATCTATAGCAGAGTGGATCTACACCGTGCAGCCCTGGCCGGGAGCTGTGGGTTGTAATGAGGCAGCAGATAAGGGCCATTTACTACATACGCTATCATACAAACTGACTTGTGTCTTGGCCCTATGATATTCCTCTAGAATTCTCTTTTCCGAATCATGGGTGGTAATTCTCATATTATATCACTCGACGTATATATATATACCTAACCACCGTAGCCCCATGGAAACACAGACCCTGGGTAAATAGCGGTATGATAGAAATAGACAAAGGGATTTGATGGAAGAAAAAAAACGGCAACGAACAACGTTAAGGGGGATAGAATAGCTATTCAGTAATTGACGAACTCATCCAACTTTAATAGCGCCGGGGGGATACGGAATTAGAAGTGGTCCCTTCCGTCAAAAATTGCTTTGGGAGTGGGATTTTTGGTCGGTGTCCCTTACATCTATGACTATGCCACCCTGCAAAACACATGATCCTAGAGCACCAGTACTAGCGTGGTCTTTACCGCAGTGCTCCCGTCTTTTCTAAAGGATTTTTTGTATGTCCTCAGGGGAACCACCCCCTTCTAAGAGATGCGAAAAGCCCGCCCTCCTCTCACGCGCTTCTACTGTTTTCAAGGGGTTAAGAACGCTGCACCTTTGGCGTCATTTATTACTTCCATCGTCTCAAAACTTAATCTTTCGTTTCCCAACCTAATCCTCCATAGGAGAATACCTCGCAAGCTCATAAATATAAAGTGATATCTTGTGATCTTTGTTCAACTATCGCTAGGTAACGTGACATTCACAAAAAAAAAAAAGATATGAGCGCCCATTTATAAAACAGAGTGACAACTGGTGATTACCCCGGAGGAGAGCCCCGTCGGAAACCATGGAACAGGCACAAACCCTCCGATTAGTAGATGCACCAAACTCCAGGGACGAATGGGACCCTGTAAACAGAGCTAACTCGAATGGAGCCCAAGTGCAGAACGCCCGGCTACGTATCCTCCCCGGTCGTCCTCTCGTACACTTGTGTAAATCGTCCAAAGTCAGGAGGAACCGGCATCGCGCCCTACACTTGCGGCAGTTCCTGGTCCTCTCGGAAGAAAAGGAACCTTACCTGCGTAAATGGGAAGAGGATATTCGAGACTCCTCCCTCCGTGAGCCACGATGGATAGATTAATTGTTCGGGGGGGAGGGGGGGGGGGCAAGTCCCAATCAGACAGCATTCTGCTATTGGATGAAGCCGTGTAGGTATATAAATCTACCTATAGCTTTAGGATATGGAGGGTCGGAGCCCTCGCAGCCTGCTCACCGAGTGATTTTTTTCGCAAGAAGAAAAAAGAAAGAAGTTTGGGGATTCTCTCTCTCCCTCTCGAGCTAGGGCGCTGCTTGCCTCTGCGGCCAACTTGGAAATTGACCCCGTCCATGGTCACAAAGGACAACCGCATGCCGATGGTGTTCCAAGAACCCCGAAACTCCCTTACTGACACAACCAATTCGAGCCTTGCCCCAATTCTCGCAACCCTTTTTCCCCAACCTCTCACGGCGGTCCATGCAAGATATCTGTAACCCAAAATTTTTACACACTGCTTCACCTTTCGGCGATTAATTGAGTACATTTATCTGCATTCTCCTACGGATATGCTGGCCAGTAAGCTGCGCCAATTGTCACCCCACTCGCCCCCAAAGGGAATATTAAGGAGCAACATCACCTAGTTGAAATAAGTTCCAGCTCTCCGAGTGGTCACAGAGAATCACTCGAATTTTTAACCCGCTCCTAACCTCCGCCAAACGGCGAGAAACCCGCCCGGAAAACCAACGCGGCACAACAACTCCCGTGTCAGGCAGGCCAAGGAGGGTGAACACAGTCGAGTGAGCGATCGGGCTAGGACTAAAAGTGCACCTAATTCCTCATGTGTCCTCCAGGAGCTACGCACACCCGCACCCGCAGTAAAAAAAAAAAATGGCATATGCACCCGCTCGTCCCTCGCCTCTAGGAGTGGAGGACTGCAAGGTAGCGAAATTTGAGCGCAGTAAAGTTTCATTGGCCCCCCAAAAACTTCTTTCCCTCCCCATAGCCCAAACCTTATCCTATGAACCACTGTAGACTACTTGAGTACTGGACGGCATGAGAGGTTCTATGAGTGGCTTGCACACACCCTATTGTCTACTGGCACCAGAAGTCAGTGCTCGTCCAAAGCTCATCCCATCCGGGCGAGGTATGCCTATCCTAAAATCCCAAAAGATTTTCCTTCCTTTTTTCCTCTCTTTTTTTCCCTTTCCTCCCCTCCTCCTCCCTAGTTCCGCCAACTTGTAGAGTAGTTGTGAATACCCTACACAAGCTACGAACAGTACAAGTATAACAAACTAACGCGGGTCCTCGTCCCGGTACCGAAAATTTAAGCCGCATATCAATATGCCGCACCAGAGGTAAAATGCAAGAGAGAAAAGGAAAACCGTCACACAAAGGCTGGAGTGGGGGGGTGGGAGGAAGGAGAGAAGAAGAAAAAAGAAAGAAAGCGGGAGATGTCTTTCGGTGAATGGTATTGGCTAAACAGATACGTAACCACTTGGTCGGCCACAAGGTGGGCCATTCTCGGCAACTCTCGATCCGCGATCTAATAAACCATCCTTGGCGTGGTGTGATTGGGGCTGGCCCAAAGAATCAGGATCAGGTGTTGATATCACAATCCGAATGGGAGGAGTGAGGAGGAAGAGGAAGAGGAGAGAAGAGAGGAGAGGAGAGGATATGATACAGCTTTCTTGAACTCTCTCCTCGTCCTGCATCGAGACCGGAGAAGAGGATGGGGGGATCGCCTAATTGCGGTACTGTACGAGGGGGGGAGAGAACCTGGTTGGCGCGCCGGAAGGAAAACGGGTGGCAGTTCCTTCTTCCCCCTCTCCCATGTTCGGATCTACGAGCATAGGAAGAGGGACCTTATGATAAGCGTGGGGAAACGGAAGGAATTTGTGATATCCCATTATTACAAATGACATTTCGACAGTCTTGCTTTTATTCAAAGTCCAACGGTTTTTGCAACCCCCTTCGCACAGTCCAGTCTGACCTAGATGCACCAGAAGGCACTTTATTTCACAAGTGAATTGTTATACGATCCTGTATCTTGTTTCTGCGCTCAATGTGCATGCATAGGCCAGCCAGAACGAATTATCTTGCCATTCTCATCTCCACCCACGTGCCGTAATCTCCCATTCCAGCGAGTTTTCCACCCTCCTTG